GTTTGAAGTTTTAAGAACTCGAAAGAGATTAATTCATTATTCATTGAGAAAAAACTTTAACAAGTACACATTATTTGCTAGAACTGATATGTAAACTTAACCATCTTCAAATTTCAATAACAAAACAAACTACTGCACATTCTTCACCAAAGCAGTCTGAAAAGACTATACATGGTACTTGGCAAGTAATTAATCGCCTCACTCATCGTCAACATACACAGTTTCCTGCGTAAACAAGCCCCCGAACACCTTCCTCACTTCTTTCTTCGCATCTGTTTGTTTAGCTTTAGGCTTTGGCTGCTCCTTAGGCTTCAAAGAAGCTGGTTTGGGAGTTGGAACTGGCTTGGAAACCGCTTTCTGAGGAGATAAAGTCCGAGCCTTTGCCTGTCCTCTGACGGTCGCAATCTGCACTTTTGGCGTCTCTGAGTTTTGAACTGTGTCCGCAACTTGTGTGCTAAACTTTTTCCACGACATCCCCATGCCAATATTTTTTGCCTTGTTCAAAAGGCTATCTATTGAGGCCCCTGCAGCCTCAGCCTTCACTTGAGCGTCTTCAGCTAAATTCGTGGAGCGAGCTTCTTGCTCGGTCAGCTTTTTTACCTCTTCTTCAAGTTTCTTCGTCACCTCAGCTGCTTCGCGGGCTCTCTCAACAGCTATTATTGCCTCTTCTTCCGCCTTGGCCTTCGCAACCATTACTGCATAAGCTTTCCTTCTTTCATCCTTAGGGATGGTACTAAAGCCAATAAAACATGCACAATAGTTAGAAAAAGTTTCCACAAAAAATAACGCTTTTTTTTTAATAAGAAAATATGATTAGGGTTCTACCTGAAAAGCTGATCTACAGGCCTCAAAGGTGCGGATGGATCGGTATATACTTCCACAACCTTGCCAAGCATAAAAAATAAACATTTTAAATCAACAGAGAAGCCAGCAAGAAAAATACAATACATCAGTAACATATCAATGTATAATATACACATTTAAGGGAAGAAAAAAAAGAGAGTAATGTTTGATCGATCACGTTTATCACAACGGTCAAACCCACTAAGATAGATAGAGCCCAATTGGGTTTCATCTTGACAAAAGATGTGATCTGCAATGTGATCAGTTTTGTGTACCTTATTTTCCGCCACAGAAGTGTTCGAGAAAACATCTGCCACCAGAGCTGCAATCTGAGACTTGGCTACCTACTTGAGTAATGTTCAATATTATCAGGACAAACTACGAAATTTTAATGTCAAAAAATAAAAACGAAAATAAAATAAAAAGAAAGCATTACACTTATATTGCATACATTACATTACTTTGTAGTCGTTTGCAGCTCTGCTTCCTTCAGCTGACACAACAATGTTATAAGAGCTCTCCGGCGAAAAATCTTCCGTCAAACTTGTCTTTATAAACGTGTAGCTAACGTCCATTTCGATGACTTTTTGCAAAAACTCGGAGACTGACAACGGCTGTGATCGTGAGAAGAGGTTGTTGAAGAATAAGGATATGCCATCTATTACATTGTACGTTGACGTTCCCACTGAGTTCCCATCATAGATTATCGCCACGTGCCCAACGCCGGCCAGTTGGGCAGCTTGGACCACTTGCAAGGCCTCGAATGGGGTGACTTCCGTCGTTGGACCATTCTCGGCAGGGCCAATGGTGACAACGGCTTTGCCGGCGTTTCCAATGGCTTTGGCAATGGATTCAACATCTTGGAAGACGGATTCGACCGCGTTGAGGCGTTTTGATTCTTCATTTGATATGATCTACAGTGTTCAATAGAAGTAGGAGCTAAAATCCTAGACCTAGTATACAAAATGCTTGCATAACGAAGGATAAGTGTTCTACCACTAAAGCTATCGACACTAGATGTTGGTTTCATTGTTTAGGACATCATTATAAATTATAATTCCCGTCGAAAAAAAGACATCGTAGTTATTTTTAGACAAAGTTACATCAGCTCCATAGTCGAAGCGGAAATTGTTTTGATTCACATTGCATAAAATTGGTTTGAGAAGCTAACCTTGTATTTAGAAGCAACTCGAGCCAACTCCTGAGCAGCACCAAGCTCAGGCACACCAGCCCGCACGCTAAAACCTTCGCGCAGAAGGGCCTGCGTTATCCGAACCCCTGCCTGCCCGGTTGCGCCAGCAACGAACACTGTTCCGGGGTCCTTGGCTCTTTGGTTCCCAAAGGACAGACCTAAAGAAGGCCGATTCACGACAGGGATCAAAGCCTTCACATCGGGAATTTTTCGGAAATCAAACCGGAAAGAGCTGGAATTGTTGGAGTCCTCAGCTTGGCCTTCATCCGACACTGAACCATTGTCCCCGGACTTGCCAAACCGAAATGCAGACAAGGGTCCTCCCCTCTTGGCGAAGACCGAGAGCCTCGGGTTCTTACGGGTTGTTGCTCTCGAGTTGGGCGTGGAGGTTAGAAGAAACGAATTGGAAGTGAGAGTTGCAGCCATTGATGCAAAGTGTGCCTTCTTTTCCCTCACAATTCAGATTTTTTGCAGCACACCACGAGCATGTGGCAATTGAATTGCCCCCTTGGCACGAATATTATCTGGAATTTGGATGGGAGGGTATGGGTGCAGGCGAATGAAACGGCGCCACATGGCACGCTCTATCTACTAGAGAAAATTTGGACACCAAGAATTCTAATGGCAGATTGAACCACCAGAAAGTGACATAGAGCCATGATATTTCTTCATACCGTAGGCAAAATAAGATAGGCATGGCCCACGGATGCGCAACATGGTCACAAATACCCAATGTCAATTATTTTCAGTTTCGTTGAAGCACCAAAAAGAGTGAGCAAGACAATCTTGGTAACTTTAATAACGACACCCCGGTGAGAAGGCGAAAATCTTACTTCGCCGGGTGTGGATCACATGAGTAGAGAGGCGGAGAGATGCAGACACGCGGGTGTATTTTTCCGGTTACCGAGCAGAATCTCATCCGGGGCTTCTAAACCCAGGACTAAATGGCAAAACAACCGAGAAGCGACATTCAACGGCAAGCCTTGTAAGGGCACGCAGCCAAGGTAAATTCCATTAAGTGTAACATGGAATTCAAGCTAATAAGACAGATTGGCATCGCGAGGCGTACTCTAGCAACTTTACATAAGGCAGAGTTTGGTTTTTTGGGGTGATAGTGGAAAAGTCGACAGATAAGTCACCCTTACTGCCAATCTACAAAACCATACATGAGATTTTCACCTCATACTCTTTCAATTCTTTTGAAGTCATTGGATGTAACATGGAATTCAAGCTAATAAGACAGATTGGCATTGCAGAATGCACAACCTATACTGGGCTTTCAAACCTGCACAACAATAACCAAGCCATGCCATAACAACTACAAACAGAATCAAATCGACAACATTCGTATTCAAACAGATGATTTCAGTCGACCATCGCTCGCTATAAAATCAACAGAAAAAATAAAAAAGATCGGAACTGCAAATTTACTAGGGATGTTACAACCTATTGGATGGGAGTTTCGCTGGGGACTATCTGCGAAAGATGAAGGACAGATGGGTGAGGGTGGGAAATGAAAAAGGGACTTCCCAGAAGAAAAATATCAACTCCGACGAACTCGAAAACAAATTTTCAGTCTAAGCCCACCTAAAACATAAACACAACCTGGCAAGCAAAATATACTAGCACACTAGTATGCTCATCGAGATCTTCACAACAAAACAGATCAGCTCTCATCCTTCCCCTTCGATGACCGTTGGTATCAGCATCCAAGTCATAACCATAAGCTTCATCTACTAGTGCAAAGTCAGACAACACGTTACGAATACAACTCCATGCTTCACATCTCCAACAAAACTCACACAATCATTTGTTATTCAAATGCTAGCATTCACAGTAACAAACTACTTGCATTAGCAACGGAAACCATCTATCAACGTCGAAGTTAATCATAATACCACAAAAGAATCCTTTCGCAAATGGCAGTAATACATCAAAAATAATTGTCATTGTAATTCTGAAAATGAATAGAAATCCATGCCAAGATGCAGAAAATACTTATAACCGACTATTGAAAGGAAAAAAGAGTCAAAACTGCAGCCAAGGATTCACATACCATATGTCTAAATGAACGATTAAAATCACAATACAGAACTGCCAGATGACAGAAAAGTATAATCCAAGCCACAAATTATCCTAACAGAATTAAATGCTTCACATGAGAGAATTCAAGAAGTGACATTAACAACTTCTCATACAGTATTAACCATTACCATCCAAATCAACCTTATAGCCGGTATCAACATCAGGACCAGACAAATCCAAGACCATAGCACCATGGAGAATTTTAGAAAAAATAAGTCCACTCTCAAGCTGCCAACCTTAAAATGTAAACACAAATGCAGTGAGAAAGTAGCAACAATATACTAACTAGGAAGGGAAGAGAGAGAGAGAGAGAGAGAGAGAGAGAGAGAGAGATTATTAGATTGAATGAGGAGAAAAAGGATTCCCTAAAGACACAGAGTTGTTCCTCTAAAAGAGCCCATAAAGGCATAGAAAAGTACCTGAATCAATGGTCAAAATGTGAATCTGCACATGATCTGCTCAAGTAGTTCACACCTAGTTGACATAAATTTCATCTACCAATTAACCAGAAATCTAATTTTAGTAAATTCTCATCACTGAAACAAACAAGACCTTCAGATTCTTTACGTCGTAAGAAACAAATAATGCCAACCAATCATGCAAACCATACCCAAAATTGTAACCAACCTTGCACATAAAATAAGCTAACAATACCCGAATACAAAAATATAATGAAGTGTTCAACAACTAGAAAAACTAGATCTAAAACTCAATTCAAAATCAAAATCGGACAAAAACCAATGTAAAGGCAATGTAAGAGCTCCACATCCATATTATGAGGACATCCTATAGAACAACAAATCATATTCACAATTCACAAAGGACAACCATTACCAGAAAATCTAGCAGCAAGGTCTGCATAAAGTTGAACTCAAGAGAATAGCTCAGGAAATCCTCATTTATCCATTTAAGCTGCCAGCAGTAAACACAGATTACATTAAACAGTAACCAAAACATAGAAGTACTTGCATTCATACAAATTATAATCCTAACAAATCTGAAATGTTATTGCTTTGTAGGATTGAAAAGATTAAACACCATAGTGTCCAAACACAGAAACAAATTTAGTGACTAATGCCCTTTTTTGCTTTAAGTGATTCAAGAGCCTTCTTGCGTAACTCAATCTCAAGTTTCTTCTGAACATCCTCCTTCTCTTCATTGTCACTTGAATGAAGCTTCCTCCTGCCTACATGTTCACCATCTGAAGCAGAAGCATCACTGTAATTCTTCCCTTTCATCTTCTCTGCACGACGTTCTTCTTTTCTGCGACGTCGCTCCTCACGTCTTCGGCGCTTCTTCTCCTTCCTTGATCTCTTTTCCTCTTTCCTTCTCCTTTTAGCATTCTTCCTCTCATCTATTTCAGAATCATTGCTGTAATCATCATCTGAAGTAACTTCTTGCCTCTCTGATCTCTTATTCTTTCGTTTTCCCTTTTCCGCACCTCTGCATTTTTCACTTTCCTCGGAACCAGAATCAACAATACCACTTCGATTACTATGATCAACCTTTTCAATGGATGAGTGCACAGATCCAGATTTGTGATGCCGATCACTGTCCTTGGAATTTTTTGAATGAGAACGGTTCTTTTCATCAGACTTTCTACCCTCATCGGGATTTTGCATCTCACCACGTAGAGAATCCTTATATATGGTTGGAGCCTGTTGTTGATCAGGACTTTCAGGAACCACCCTCCCAGAAGATTTGCCACTGTCAGGAGTGTAACAATGTCAGACCTACAAACTAAGTGCATCCAAGTAATCATGAATGCATGATAAAATGTGTCACAGGCATATTTACCTCTTCATCTCCTGCTCCTTGTTTCTGAAGTCCTTGTTATCCAGACGGTTTCGAGAGTACTCTTCCTTGTTACGAACCTTAGCAGGAGAGGCTATCAGCTTACTGGTACCGCACCAAAAATCCAAAATTAGTAAAGATAAATTGAAAGAATGAAAATCTTCTAACGCTATGACAATTTATTTATTTTGGACAAATAATACTTGGATAAATGATAAAAAAGAATATCAACAATATTTTGATAAATTTTCGAATTCAAATGTAACCTAGTATAGTTCATTTCTTACTCTTCACTTATGTCTGGACTGCCACGACGAAGTTGTTGGTCTCTTGGTTTCCTTGGAGGACTTGAGCTAACATCATGAGTCATTTGCACCCTTGGTTGTCTAACTGGACTCTCATCTGGGCTAGATAATCTTCTTCTAATGCAACATGAAATAGTAAGTACAAAGCTAACAAATTAATCAAAGACTAACGTCGTAAGATCATATGAATCAATCATGCAGCCAAGATGAATACCTCCTTTCTTCACTATCACTTCTTACGCCTGGTGGAGATTCTGAGAGTAAACGAGACCTCACTGGTGATGGCGACAAATCTGGTGCTATTTTACACGAATCATTCCCATTCTTTGATTCCCTCTGCAATGACCCATACGAGGTAGACCCGTGTGGCACAGGAGAAATTTTTTCACGGGACCTGTAACATTGTTATTCATAAGATTGGTATTTTTCTCATCATGCCTTATAAAGAATTATCTAAATAGGTAGCAAAGAACTATTGACAATATGCAACAGAAGCCCTTACAAGGAAAGCTTCTCCATAACTTAAATCTCATAAAATGACTACAACTACAGAAATTCAATAATGTGCTTAAATCTAACATTCAACGCACCAAATGAAAGCCTATGGGACAGGAAAAAAACAAACAGAATTCTCAAAAAACCTTAGTTATATAAACCTGGTTCTTTCTTGAGGAGATTGTGAGGGAGATCTCTGAAGCTTTGATGTTCTCCTGATTGGCGAAGGGGAACCATGCTGAATAGGAGATGAACTTCGATCATGCGGAGACGGAGACCTATGCAGAGGAGTTGGTGACCTCCTGCTACGAACTGGTGACCTATGTTGCAAGGGAGACACATACCTGTTCCGTGTATTCAATGGGGATCTTCGATACGCCCGTCGTACAGGTGAGGGTGATCTGCGACGCACAGGTGAGCGAGATCTGCGACGTCGCAAAGGAGAGGGCGACCTGCGACGTCGCAAAGGAGAGGGCGACCTGCGACGCCGCACAGGTGAGGGCGATCTGGGACGTCGCACAGGCGAGGGTGATCTGGGACGTCGAATAGGCGAGGGTGATCTGCGGCGCCGGACTGGTGAAGGTGATCTGCGGCGCCGGACTGGTGAAGGTGATCTGTGGCGCCGGACTGGCGAAGGTGATCTGCGGCGCCGGACTGGCGATGGTGATCTGCGGCGCCGGACTGGGGATGGTGATCTGCGGCGCCTGACAGGTGAGGGTCTACGCCAATATGGAGAACGTACTCTACGCCGATACGGAGAGGGTGATCTTTGTTGGGAATTTGATCTAGATCTTTGCCTGGAATAACGTGATCTTCCTCTTGGGGAGGTTGATCCCTCTGGCGAATGCCTCCGAACAGTTGTAATAGGCCGTCTTGGTGAAGAGCGATCACTCCTATCAGAAGAAATGGATCGTCTCAACGCTTTTGGTGACTTGGAAATACTTCTTGATCGGTGTCTTTCACTAAACAATTATAAATATAGTGAGATTCGAAAAAATCAGGAAATCTAAAATCGAATTATCAATGATACATGAGAAACTCTTAATAAAGGCAATATCTCAAAAAATGTTAACTCCAGTTAACAAATGAAACTCAAAACAGTAAAACCTTCAAGCAAGAGAATAAATCACAAGTTTATTCTTTTCAATAACAAAACATACTCGGCATAACTTTTGGCTTAGAATGCGACCTACTAATGGACCTACAAGGTGGACCCTTGTTTAATAGAACTGAAATCTAAATTTTATTCGCTCTACTGCAACCAATCAGTGTATTTAAGATTAATGACAGAAAATGATAGTCAAGATAATTACCGAGGAGACAAAGATGAATTTTCAGAATTTGGAGATCTGGAAACCCTGCAGGAGATTACACATAATCTTTAGAACGACTTTGTGGATTTTACACTGGAAAATTAACGAAAGAAAAAAAGTGATAGAACTTTCACATCAAATCATGTAGACAACCAAACCATAAGTGCCTACACTATTCCATATATTTAAAGAATAAGAAAGTAAAGCATAAGTAGACAAATGATTACTAATACTGAAAAGAAACAATTTCCATATAGAGAAAAGTTTTTATGCATGAGTGCAAAGCATAGTTAGACAACAGATGTAACAACAGAACTAGTGAATGGGTAAAACAATTCTGAATTTCTTACTTGCTCCTTGCCTTCACACCAATCCTCTTTTCAGCTCCTCTTTCATCCTCATAATGATCATTTGAATCCCTTGGCAACATATGCTTTGTGCTTGGCTCCAATGCAGCACTGTTTGCTTTCTTGTCAGCCCCTTCTTCCTACAGTAGTTTGAGGAAAAGGAATGAACCCAAATAATTGCAGAAGCTAGCTGAATGCATGAAAACACAAACGGAAGTTAAAACAAAACAACTGAGCTCTAGAGAATGGATCTCCAGCATGAAATATTATTACCATCTTCTTCAATATCTCTTGTTGATCTATCCTCTCCTTCTCTTTCTTTATCTGAATGTCACTTGCAAACTTGTCTGCCTCCTCCTGCAAGAATCCATAACACGATATCATTAAATAAAGCTGAATCATCTCAACAGACTTGGAACACAATGTGAAACTGAAAATATAATAACCTTCTTTTTCCGTGCTTCTTCTTGTTTGGCATCTAAAAACTGTTGAGGAACACCACTAGCATTGTTCTGTGCACTGATAAGCAGTGTCCAAAGCTCTTTCATAAACTTCACAGTGTTTTTCTCCATAAATCCAGTAAGCGAGATTTGAATTTCCTTCCCATTCACCACCTGCGAGTTGTAGAAAACAGATGCAGTTCAAACAACATTACTCTTAACCACAAACGCACAAAACCGGGGCTCTCATACCAACAAATCTTAACAATAAATTATTAAAATTACCACAAGCTGAAACCTGGGTGAAGGGAAATGACAGGAATATATATAGTTCACCTTCATTATTAACTAGACATACTTGTGCACTCGAACGAAAAGCGATAAACAGTACCTATCAGCTAGTCTCACCCCCTGGACAAAGCACTAAACATATAAAGCATTAAATTACCTTTCCTTCCAAAAGACCATAGATAAAGTTGATAAGAACTTCATCTTCGAATCCGAGAAGCTCCGTTACTCGATTAGCAATCCACGGGCGCATAACATCCATACTGACCTTCGTTATATCGACCTACAACACATCATTCATGCACAATTAACCACAACAATAGGTCACACCCGGTTTCGTCAACACTTGAGCAATACCCAATTCTTAAAATTTAACAAACTTAATATGCGAATTGAAATTTCGATTAAACTCGAACAAAAAATTAGGGGAAAGAGACGAACCAAATGTTCCAATTCAGGTGCAAATTTCTGAGATTTCATCAGCTTCGCTTGCTTATTGGAAAACCTAGTGTCCTGATCAGCGGACGTACCCTGAACAGACACAATCCAAATTAATCGGTCAGTAAAATTGGGGTTTCTGAATTAGAAGATCTGGGGTTAGGTAATTGAGATGAAATCCGATACAACTTACCCTGAAAAACCCGCCAGACATTTTTTAGGGTTTGCGAAGAAAGCTGAAAGATTTCGGCGGTTGAGGAGGGAGAAAGGGAGGGAGAGAGAGAGAGATGGAAGCAGAGCGAGGGGTGTGTAGTTTGAGCTTTACGCGAGGTGTGTGTGTGAGCAGTAGGAGAACTCTTTCTCAAGGTGGGTAGGAGAGATTAGCCGCCAAATGCCCTAATTCATAAAGAATATGTCATTACAATTACAATATCTATTCTTATTCGAGTGTATTTTTGCTCATCATCATTTAGTGTGATGTATGCTCATCATTTTATTTATCATTGTTAGATGAGGTTGAATTTTGAGATTTGTGGTTATCATACACGAATCTCGAAATTCAAACTAATCTAACGGTGATAAATAGGATGTAATCATACACCACTTATTCACATTCATTTTTATTTTTCACATACATTTAATTTTCAATCTTCGAATTAAATAAATTAAAAATGACCAATCGAGAAAAATTAACAAAAGTGTATGAAAAGCAACCAGAGATGCGTTCGTCGAGCACACTTTTGTTAATTCTTGTCTTCTTCAATTTATTCAATTTCACAGTCGAAAATTAAAAAATCATATAAGAGATAAACATAGGTAACATTACCTTTTTAAACAAAAGCCTCAACATTGTCCCACTCTTCAATCTCGTCTCACGAACATTGGAGGGTAGCTATCACAATAATTGTCTTCAATACACAATACCTTGAGTCCAAGGGAATTGCTTCTCGTTTTTTGATTTACTGTATAAATTCCCTGTAAAAATAACAGCCAACGTCCCTCCCTTATCTCTAATAAATCTGATAAGAAAATATAACTTCAACCAAAAATGTTTTACTTACAATGTTGCAGTTGCTGACTGCGTTTGATAAGTATTCGTCACATATTAAAGGGAATTGTTTCAGCATGTGTTTGATTGTAGCCTTATAGGTTTACTCGACGGGCATGAGGTACCAAGCTCACTATAGATTGTTTCATGGTACCTCGTGCATTGGAGGATACCTTCTTCTTTTGTGTGCTCGGTGAAGTTATCCAGACAATAAGGCTTCGTTTAGTGGGTTGAATGAGATAAGTTGTTTATTATGTTAAAATAATGTGTCACTGTTTACCGATGCAACAATATGTAGTGCTAAATATGGATGGCTGCTTCACTCAAAGAAAGTAGAGGTTGAATTATTGTGTTCTTTTACAATCCATTCCAAATTGAAATTATCCAAGTATATATCTGCCCCCTTAGAGTTGAGCAGCGAATTCTCTGACAACTTTAGCGACGTTCTTTGCTCGTCGCGGTGAATTTTCCATTTTGTCGTCCTTGGGCTTAAAGGTTGTGATATGGGAATTGTAATGAGGTGCAACATGGGAAACGATGCATGGCCAATTGCTTGCCCAGCCCATCGGCCGCCTTGTAATGTTTGGCAACTCGTTTATCTTGGTCGGCTCTTGTATCACACTTTTGAAGGAGTAAGATTCTCTTATCTTCTAATCTCTTTTTCTTTTCATCTCCTCTTATTTAAACTATTGCGATTACGTCACGTCTACATCTTGTTTTGAATTTTTAATATAAAGAATAAGGCAAAAGGAAGAGTGTGAGAGGAGGAGACGAAAGAGGATGGTAATAGGAGAGGAGAGAATCTTACTCCACTTTTGGAATCCTAAAGATGTTTTATGACCAAGGATTGGGTGCCTTCAAAACAAATTCTATAGAACAATCTTGTGATATATTTTGGAGGGCAAATGAACAAACCTTAGTACTACAATCTTGTGATTTTTTTTTTTTTTACTCATAAATAAGTGGTTTAAAAAAAAAAAAAAAAAAAAAAAGAGAACGAAAATTTCATTCATTGATAAAATGACATTATAAAAACATATTATGAATAACTCGACTCCAAAAATATCCTTGCAATTTAGGTCTAAACTTGCAAAACAATGAGTAGACTTTAAGTACTTGTTTGAACTCATCGAGAACCACAAGATATACAGATTGATATAAGGACATGTGAGAACAAACTCACAAAACCATTAAATTTCATGTTACACGAAGATCATCTGAGAACAAAATCTGACATCATAAATTGGGACAAGGAATACGATGCCTATGGATCGACCGCATCACCTACTCATCGCAACAATCCCAGAACATTGAGTGAAGTAGACCCAACAAATCAAACAGCTCCACCCTTAACACATAGATCCAAAAGAGGTAGCACACCAAAAAGAATATTAAAATCAAGCAACTCTCCTACAGAGAGCAATCAAACTAGCACACTTTCCTAAAGAGAGAAAACAAACCAAATTCCAATACAATTCTTGAAAATTATTAAATAGGAAAAAAAAAAAAAAGATAAAATCATGTGACCGCTCCACATCCTCACGACATCCAAAAATCATATCAGGGCATCTACTAATCCCAAATTGTCATTATGGCTGAACTTGATCCCGAGGCAATTCGAGATGTTTCATGGCTTTAGCTTCCCAACATCGAAGGTGATAACTGGATCAAAAACTATGTGTTATCTATGTGCGTGGGCCAAAAGGCGAACTATCACGGCAACTACAGCGTTTCAAGGCTACAATTCAACACCAAATAAAATAAAAAGAAAGTGAGAGGGAAGAGACCAATAATGATTTTAAGAAGATTGCCACCGTCGAAGCTAAAAACAAGAGCTGGCGACATAAAATTTTCCATTGGTTTAAATTCAACTCCCCTAAATAGAAAGTTTATAGAAATTATAATGGTTGATTCATTATGTAATTTAACTTATCTTTTAACTAGTGTAAATGATATCGTTGTATCAAATAATTTTACATAATAAAAATCAAAACAGAGAAAAAATTATCTGCACATAGCCTATGGAGAATAAGCTTTATGGTTAGTCTGTCACGTGCAGATTTCGCCACGTGGACCGACTCATGTAATCGGATGCAAACCTATTTATATTCCACTCTTTAATCTTCATTTCTCGTCCGCTCCCTCTCTCTCTTCCTTTCTCTCCTCGCTGTCGACCTCTATTCTCCGCTGTTGTCTCTCTCTCTCTTCTCTCTCACACTCACACACCCCAAATCCAAACCCTAATTACATGTTAGGTCTTCAAACTTGTATCGATTATCTGCGCTGAAAGTTTCTGTGCCCCAATTCTCCCGGGAAAGCTTCGATTCGATTTTGCTTTTTGCTTGACGAGAATCGGAGGTAGGCGGAGCTGAGATTTCAAAAATGGCGGCATCTACGAGCAGTGTCTACGTCAATGTTATTGAGGATGTCATCAACAAGGTCCGCGAGGAGTTCATGAACAACGGCCCCGGGGAAGACGTTCTGAAGGAGCTTCAAGGAGTAAATTCAATTTCCGATTTCAATCTTCATGGTTTTGTTTTCGTTTTCGATTGTTTGAATTCTGCATGTTAATTGAAGATTAGGTTTTATTTATTTATTTTGTTGATAGATTTAGGGTTTTCTGGCGGAGTGGTTCTAGAGTTCGATCTGATCCATTTCTAGGGTTTTGAATTATGCGAGGATTAATTGTTTTGTTGGGACGCCATTAAAGAGCTACGGTATAGCTAATTTTTGAATTTGGGGTAAATTTCAGACATGGGAAGCGAAAACTATGCAGGCTGGTGTAGTAAATAATCCTATAGAGAGGTCGGCAGCAAAGGGAACACCTGGCAGTGGTGTTACTCCAGTTCACGATCTCAATGTACCGTATGAAGGGACTGAGGAGTACGAAACTCCCACTGCTGAGATACTCTTTCCTCCAGTGAGTTTTTGCTGTGTTTTCTTTTTCTATGTTTGTAATCAAAATCTTCGCTTAAAGAAGTTACATTACATTGTTGATGTGGGTTCATTGGAATATTAGACGCCGTTGCAAACCCCAATTCCTGCAACCCCAATTCAAACGCCTCTACCTGGAACTGGGGACAACTTGTATAACATCCCTACTGGAGGTAGTGACTATTCTGCAAACGAGTCTGGTAGCAGCAATGGTGGTGTCAATGCAGAGACGAAAGGTGGAAGACCTAGCCCCTACATGGTAAACACGCATTGAAATTCTCTCACTGGTTACTAAATACTACTAACTCTCTTTTCTAATCAACAAATATGAATTATCAAAGTACCTTGAATGGTTAGTAATTATTTATAATAAATTGCAAAGCTAAGGATAGTGTGGTGATTATAGTACAACACTTTATGTAATTTTATGTTCATACTCTCTCTTTACACACACATATCTTGTGATAAACTTCCAGTAATACTGTATTGGTATAAGAGTACCTAAATTATCTTTGTTCTGTTTGCAGCAACCCCCTTCTACTTGGATGAACCACCGCCCCCCTCTTGATGTTAATATTGGTAAGTTGGATGGTATTGTTGGATAGAGCTTTACTCTCGAGAGTTCTGTAGTAATTCACATTTTATTGGTGTAGCTTACGTGGAAGGGCGGGATGAGGTGGATAGAGGGGCCTCTCATCAACCCCCAACACAGGTAATGCCTGCTATTATTTACAATTTCAAATTGCAGAAAATGGACTGGTTTCTGGGTATGAAGAAAAATCATGATTAAAGAGTTCTGAATTTCTTTGGTGTGTATTGCTCCCTTCAGTTTCTTCTTATGTTTTTCACTTGGTCTTTGTCAAGGAGATACAGTCTAAATTAAGATGGTGTTGTTGAATTACCACTATAGTTGGTCATTATCGTAATGTTGAAGAAAATTTCAGGACTTTCTCCAGATGAATTCTGGAAAGCGAAAGCGTGAAGATTTTCCTGCACAGTATCAAGCTGGTGGTTTTATACCCCAGCAAGATGGAGCTGGAGATGCTGCACCTGAGAAGTTTGAGATTGAGGTTTTATTTTCCTGCTTTTTTCCCTTAACTTCCTAACAATATTGGTGTGGATGGTCTGATGATCATGATGTCATACATTTTTCTTTAGCATTCATCCTTTGTATCAGTGAAATTTTTTATTTATTTGAATCTCCGGATGGGTATCTATGCTTTGTAAAATCTAAGACTAGATTACTGGCATTTGAAAATATGAAGAAAATGTGACCTGAGAATTCTTTATCCAATGAATTACAAATTATCTCAGGCTTCAACTGAACTCAAATCTTTAGGTGACTTATATATTTTGGTGGAATAACTGGCATAAACTGTTAGGGAATAACTGGCATTGCTCTGTCATATGTGATCACTCAAAACTCTCTGACTCTCTCTCTCTCTCTCTCTCTCTCTCTCTCTCTCTCTCTCTCTCTCTCTCTCTCTGATTTCATTTTGTGAAGCTGGAGTTATTCTTCTTTCTTTCTTTCTCCTTTGGCGAGTTATAGGTGTATTCGGTTGTTAGGAATAAAAGGTTTCCTGGAGCAAGTCTGCCCCTACAGGATTTATAAGATAAGGAGGGAAAATTGATTGCCTGAGACTGTTTTGTCATTTTCTATTTCTTTCATGCCAATGGTCCCTCCGGTTTTGTATTGTTTTATAAATTAATTTGCAAAATAAATTTTGTTTCTTGAGGAAAAAAAAAACTGTTTTCTCGTAAAGTATAAAACGGTTGGCTATATGAAATTTTTTTCATTTGTGCGCTCACTGGAGGAGTATAAAATTTGAAGGAAAATTATCTGGGTATTTTATGAAACGATTCGATTGGGGTTGATGGCCTTGCAAGTATAGGATGTGTTAAAAGTGGAAAAGATTTGATTGGGGTTGTGGAATTGCTCAATTTCCGGTGAATGTTAGCACAAGTAGGATGTGCTAAAAGTGGGATTTGAAAGGTAGAAAAATCATGAATGATTCTAATGGAAATGTGCTCAAAGAAGGACAAAAGGTGTATTTTCTTCCCTTTGGAAAGCCATCTTCTCATTTATATTAGATATTTGTTTCTCTTTGGGCTAGTTTTGTAGGTTTTGTCACAGTACCTGGTGTTCAACTTAGTACTTGGACTCAAATGGTCTCTTATATGATGATCACTGTTATTGCAATTTTCTTTTGCAAGTGATTTCTTCTTTATGGTCTAATAGTTTTTCGTGTCATGGGAATATAGTTTATATATGTAGCTGTAAAATATGGGTGGGATCACTGTTATTTATCTTTCTCTTTCCGACCAATTAAATAAAATGAGAAATTACATTTGCAACTTAGCTAGCAATAAGGCTGCAAATATTCCAGGCAGGCCCGCAAGTTTTCAATCTTGGCACTTTATTTAGATAAAACTATCTTCTGCACTGCACAGTGGTATGGGACCAGTCGTATCTTTAGGCATTTAAGGAACTTAGTACTTTTTTACATATATTATGTATTTGTTGGAGTAATACACTGTTGCTACTATTAGTAGTTCTTTCTTTATCTTTATGAATTCAAGTTATCCAGAGCATGGAAAAACACTTATAAACCAGCAAGTTTTGCGTTTAGTCTTTTTGTTATGTGTTCTTTAATCGTTTAATGATGATAAACTTTCAGGTCAGTGGAGGGAGCACTTCTATTGCCAGTCGTGCATGGAGTGAGATGTTAACTCGTGTACGAAGTTCAACTCCCAAGATTCCTCAACTTGATGGGCCAATTCCTGATCCTTATGATGAGCTTTCTACTCCCAATGTAAGGACTGTTCTGAAATTTTTTACACGTATCACGAATTATTTGCTTATATATTGTATTGCCTTCTATAATATATAATCTTAGAGTTACACGTACAAGTGGCCGCCATTGATCTGCATTCTGCTGCTTTGTTGGTTTACGGAGGTTGATTTTCCCTCCTTTTGGCAAACAAGAGTGTGTTAATGTAGGAATCGGCATCAAATTTGTATTCCTTTTATTTTTCTCTACCTTTTTGGCTAAGATCAAGTGTAGTATATGTCCTTATCAGTTTAATATTTGATAAGTGGTCCACATGGTATTAAATTCATTTATTCTAGGGCCCACCAGGGTGACTTCCATTGGGGATTCCAAGTGTCGCCCATGCAGTGCACTATTGCCTGGAGGACCCTAACTTGAATTATTGAGTGGGAAGAAGTCTGGGACTTATTTATATATATAAGTATTCAACTTGTAGTTTACACCCCTAAATGAGTCAACTGTGATATCAATGGTCAAGGAAAAATGGTGCAGGTCTTTGGATAGAGTACTAGGATCCTGGATTTTGTTTTCTCTTGTTTGGATTACGTCGAGGGTTTTACTTGGTGGTTCATATTTTGGTTCTGGACTCTAGCCAGTCTCTCGCCGGGTATTAGTAGCCAGTATCACTTTAACCCTTGACTTAATGTCTAAAGTCTCTGAAGTATAAATTTTGGATGTATGTCATTTCTTTATCCTAAAAGTTGTGTTTCGTTATTTTCACTGTCCCTCTTTCTGCTCTGCTCTGCTCTGCATCTGTTCTTAATATTTGATAATTTTCTTTTACTTACTGACTGTTGCCTCTTCCTCCCCGTGCCCTACAGATATACAATTATCAAGGAACTTTCAATGAAGACTACAATGTTGCCAGCACACCTGCTCCCCATGGTAATCTAGTGATAAATTTGTGAACATTGTGGTTACCGTAGGAGTGGATAAGTTTAGTGTCGTGAATCCATCTCTGTGATGTTGAGGCCTCCTTCTCTCATCATTTTTTAACCTCCAGATATACCAGTGAGCACTCCAGCTCCGGTTGTTCAAAATGATGTGGGAGATGATGATGATGATGAGCCCCCTTTGAATGAAAATGATGATGATGAGTTGGATGATGTGGACCAAGGAGATGAACTTAACACAGCACATTTGGTTTTGGCCCAGTTTGATAAGGTGTCTCTCTCACTGCAGTAGTATGGCTAGGCTCGATATAGGTTTTCAATTTTCTTTCTGAAATATGAGTAACAATTGTCTTCTTGTGTATTTGGTTGGGAAGGTAACGCGCACCAAGAGCAAGTGGAAGTGCACATTGAAGGACGGCATTATGCACATAAACAACAAGGATGTTCTCTTCAATAAGGTAAAGTGTGCTTTAAAGGCTTGATATTCTCCATTCCTTTTCTTCTTGTTATCCTCTTGACCTTTCTTTTGGAATGCTGCCTTTACAGGCGAACGGAGAATTTGACTTCTGATTTTCTTGGAGAAAGCCTATTTTGCCAATTAGCGGCAGGTTGCCCTAGCGGAGCAGAGTCCGAGATGATATCACCAGGTGTTTCCTAATTTTCTTTATGAATTGTTATTAAGAGAGAGCTTGAGGGGAAGAGAAAGACAGTGCTAGATAACTTGTTTTTAAAGATTGGGATGGACGTTGGCCTTTTGTACATACAGGAGGAGCTTTTCTGGCCTTTTAAAAATGGGATTGGCTACCAAGGCGTTTACTATTTCGTAGATGGAATGCAACTCCATTAACTCTGGATTTATTGGTCAACGATGCAATTCGATTATTGTCTTTATGAAAAACTCTTCCTAGTTACGGTAATTTTTATGTTTAGACTTACAGTTGGTGACACCGTATTTTGAATTAAGGTAGATTTGCGGTTGTGTACAGGGGAGATTTGGCAATTGAGATAATTATTATGTACCGATACCACTCCTACGTTGTGAAACCGAATAAAAATGTAGTATCGGGGTTCTAACGCGGCAAATGCTGTTTTTTGGTCTGAAATGCGACATGGTTGATTTATGTTTTGGGATCTTTGAGAGTCTAGAAATGTAGATTTCTTACAATGATTTTTTTTAGACAAGTTAACAAGAACCAAATAATGGGGCTCGTAAGTTTGTAGCTCAAGTGTTTGCCTTCGTAGTTCTGTGCTCAATCCTGCTATCTGTAGTTTTGAGTTAAAAAATTGGGACTGATTCTGGGTCAGCTGCACTCATAGGCCCTTTTTTCTTCCTTTTTTTATTTTTTTGGGAGTTTTAACGAAATGTCCGTGATACTATTCATTTTAACGAAAAATTACAGTTTTACGTTAAAAAGTCAATTCTGGTAGTATGCTTTAGTAATGATTTTTTTTTTTTTTTTTTGTTCCAACTTCCATCAAACAACTGAGGTTCTGAAGCAGTTCTCCATTTTTTGGGTGGTTTAGGTAGAGTAACTTTATTTATTTTTTAAAAGAAACATAGCTCTTTGGCACCTGCGGTTGTATTATGTTTCAAGGGTTCGCCAATTAAAGCGGAATGTTAGATAGGCTCAAAACGTCATGAGACAGGTCCATATCTGGTGTAGGCGTTGAAGCATTGGGAGGACCTTTCCCTAGTACGAGAGGACCGGACTGGAAATGACGCACATCTGTTGTACTGGTGTACCAGTTATCGAATCATTAAGCTCGTAGACAGACAAAAAGCAAGCAGAAAGGGATGGCTTGGCTGGATTGAAAACTCTACTTCCCTATTTCTTGCCTTTCACCTCCCCCAATTCACCGATAGAGAAGAAGGAGATAAGTAATGACCGGACTAGACCAAGCGGACAAAGGTTTTTATTCGTTAGCCAAGCGCGCCTATTGCAGCGCCTCTATTATATAAGCAAAGGGGACACGCCCTTGGTACACAAAAATGGAAGATAAACTGTGAAGTGGAGAAAAAGACCTCTAATTGTCGAACGCATTGCCAATGTAATAACCAACAATTCTACCACGATAACGACCTTAGGATTACATTTATTTAATACAATCATCATCTCGACGATCAGATGGTAATTGTATTAAATACATATTAAATACATGAAAGAATTGTAGCCAACTTCCGAATTTTAGAAGAAGAAAAAATTGAATAAAATCGCAAAAAACCATACAAAATCATGAAGTCAAATAAAATCAGGAACCGTGGAGAAATGCAGGTTAATATTTGAGAATGATCTGTACTCTGTTCTACACAGGCAGCAGGCAAAGCTCCTCTCAAAAAACAGGCCCTAACCAAGTCGAAATCTTTAGATGTCAGTACTGCGCTGGTTCAAGATCATGCACTGGGTTTGAAACACGGTAAACAACGTTGAGGGATCCACAAAAGGAGACAGAGCCGGGTGATGCCAGCCGCCTGCAGCCGGGTGTTGCCACCCGCCTGCAGCCGGAAAGGGCGGTGCAATACTACTTCTCACGTTCTGATCACCGCCTTTTTCTATCACCACTGCCACTGGATTTGGAGATGGAATGACTACCGGAGACAGTAATGGGATCGTCATTGAAGCATCCTCGTATAAAGTGTTGGTGGAGGCAGTGCTTGCGATTTGATCAAGCTGAAGAGACACCGGGGCACGCTGTTGTAACCTAGTTGGAGCCTTCCCTGTATCGGCTTTGGTGTTGCAAGCATTGTAAATCTCCATTGTTTCGGGTAATTCTACGAACTTTTTCAAGGTTCTTGTTCGAAATTTACGTACAAAATCAGGTCTGTCTCTCTGATGACTTGACAATTAGGGTTACTGCATGTAGAGGTTTATAAAAGGGTATGAAATTTAACCCAAAAGATATAGATAGTAATGGTGCTTAATCATGACTAATTCTCTCTTCGCCAAAACTAAGGGTTCGGTTATGGAGGTGGACGCAGGGTTGGAAAAACGGAATTTTCGTTTAACGGTCATGTGCACTGTGGCGTTGGCTTGTGCCCCAAGCTTGGTGGAGCAATTGACCAAAGAATAGGGACGATAATTGACCTATTATACAGTGTCAAATTTGTGTTGAAATTAACTTTATCTGTTTAAGAGTAATATCTACTCACACGTATACAAGAAATTATTTGATGATACTGTACCCTGAAAACTCATCCCCCATTTATAGATTATGAGCGAAGCAACACAAGATTACATCCAGATGAGGACGTGTATTTGTTGGTTACTATAAACGGCTATGACAATGCATACCTGTTGTTTGCAGTCAAATTTAAATTTTCTTCCTCATAAATAAAAATAGACTGAAAACTTTTGTGTATGTCTACACATACAAAATTATTTTAACTATTAACTGCTGTTATCAAGAGATGTGTATGTGTATGCATTTGTGTACATATTTTAAATTTTTGTGTTCAATTTTTTATTTTTATTTTTTGTCGAACACATCTAAAATAGCTGAAGATAGTAATAGTATATCTATATATAATGCTTTTCTTATGAAAAGAAAGAAGATAATAATATCCGTTAAAGAATGAAATGATGTCTGATATCAAGATAAGTAAAAAATTATTCTACTTTTGAATAATTGGCTACTTTACTGTAGCCATGTGCATTGGTTTGATGCATTAAACAAGAGCCTTTCTTTTTATTGTTCAATCATGTGAAGCTGAGTCAGATCCACTGCATAAAGTGAAGATGTCACACACTGTACAAGGCTGCTTTATGGTGACCATTTACTTCAACAACACCTGGAAGTTAGTTATTTTGTTATTTATATATATCCATTTTTTTGTGATAGAACATTTTTAATGTGACTCGTGTGGTGAAGGAGTTGTTAATTAAACATTTGCGGTGAACAATGTCCGCAATTACGATCCAAGTTGAAAATTTTCGTTATCTCTCCGTTAAATAAAGGGAGAGAAATTGGGATTCGATGGAAACTAAGAAGCTTGAAGCTCAAATTGACGACGTCCCTAGCTAGCTACTTTGAATTCCTTTTACTGTAACCATTGCCTAGTTTAGATCTCTTGATAACAGCAGCATGCACATACAAAATTACCATGGATCATTGAGGAGGGCTAGATAAGCACATCCCAAAACCTACCTTCAAAACTTCTTCAATATTTACTCATCTTGCAGAACCCATTAGAATTATGTTTAAGGTGATTAATCATGCAAACACTGGCTCGACCTGGAGCATATAAACAAATCTATTCGATTCAAAAGCTCCTTAGTTGTGATTGATTATATCAGGCCGACGAACCCCATATATCCTCATGTTCTAGGCTTCGCATTAAATCAATTGTTTAAATGACAATTTAAACCTCTTTAGGACTAGCGGAAATTTTTGATATGGACTGTAATTGTCGATGGAATTCACTATAAGTGTTTAATTAACAACTTTTTTACTACAAGAGTCGCATTAAAAATGCTTTATCACCACATAAAAAAATGGCTATATATATGTGTGTGTGTATGAAAAGAATGGTACATTCCTCTACAAAGTTAATAATCATAGTACACCATTGGCATTTTTATTGAAAAGTAATATTGAAGTAAAAAGTGAGACGGAATGAGAATCATGATATTGGCATGTAAAGTGTGAAGAAAAAGGAGAACGTGGATTTGTTCTCTGTTTTTTTACTTTTAAGCTTTTTAGTCCTTGATGCTTTCTTGAAGTGCTTAGTATCCACATAATTTGTGAAATACTCAGAACAATTACTTTTAAAAACTTGCCGCGGTAGGGTAGATGACGCTTTATCACAATGATTGAAAATAATATTGTCAATTTATCTTGATGCGAGTTCGATCTTCACTGATTTCCTTCCTCCTTCACATTTAACTATCTAACATACTAACATTGTCGTTTGTTGAAAAACAAACTTGCATGTAGCAATTTGTTGTGTATCATTATCAATTGGTTCAAATTCGCTATCAACTAAAGTTAAACTTAAGACGTCTCACTTACAATTAAAGTAAAGAGAAATATCATTAAATCTTAGTAGTAAATGACATCATTACCATATTGTTTCATACACAGGTTTATTGAAGAGAAACAAAGATAAAAGAAAGAAATGGTTTTTTTTAAAAAGGTTAATAGATAAAAGGTTAACATTACATTAACATTGTCAAGAAACAACAAGATTAAGAGACACCACGAGCAAAAGCCCCATATAACCCACATAGTTTCACAGTATTTGGAGAATAATTGTTTGAATTTTGTAGATTTATTTTGAAATGTTGGACCCGTTTGTGATTTGGATAAATGAGTTTAATCTTCTAAAATATGTAATTACCAGTTCGTAGTATTTTACTGGAAATTTTGTGGACCCCACTACCACGTGGCAGCAATAAGACTTGCCAGCTCCCGGACACGTATCACACTACTTCTGCTTCCCCTTGTGACATGGTGCAATCCTATTGTGTTCTGAGTTGTAACGGGCAAAAACAAACCTGAATCCCATCTTCTCCTCGGTGGAGGTCGGAAGTCAAGAAGGTGTCATTCTCCTCTTACTCTTGTAAAATTTATCTCAGTTCAGAGGTTGGTACGACACACCGTTTATGAATAAGCGTTCGTGAGATCGAGTTCTACGGATTGAAGTAAGTTATTCTACATATTGAGCTGGTTTCGAGATGTCCCCAATTTTGAGTTTATAATCTAATTAACCTTTGAATTCACGGTTTCTAGTTCTCTTTTGGTAAAATGTGACTATTTGGAGAATTACTTAGAGGATTGAAGATCATTTTGGGGCGTGGCGGATCATAGTGTCAGGCGTGCGATTCTGCTATCCTAAAAACAAAAGGCTTTTCCAATTGATCTTGGAAGACTATGAAAACAAAGAAGTTTTAATTTTCGAAAACTAGTGGGCAAGTGAGTTTTCAATGAGTTCTGTCGTTGAACTGACATCTGGTTGTGTAGACATCAATGATTACAAAAAGGTAAACAAGTTTCATTTGAAGTTTCAATTTTGCTACTTGAAATTCTGGTCTTTTTCTTCCCGTTACGGCTTGATATGCACCGGCATCGCACGGATTCACTTGTCTGAGCACATCGACTCCAATCAAAGAAAATTTTAAAACTGACTAGTCTAAATTTCTAATGGTAGTTTTATTCTCAATGTTGGAAGAAGTATCGAGTTTAGTTCCATCATTCCTATTTGATCTATAAAAATACATAAATATATAAAAAAACAAAAAAAAATTAGAACCATACGAGTACAACCACGCTAACCGAAAATATATTTTGCCCTAAAAATTGAAATTTCATTGTAAAAGTAAAAGTTTATGCACACTTTTTTTCTTCTGCTTTGCAAAACCACTATATATTTTGTTCATTGATTTTTTTATTTATTTATTCAATCTAAATAGTAAAAACAAAGCAACATGTTTTTTTTGTTTGAGTACAACGAAACAATATATTTTATATTAAAAGGAATAGTTTGGTTAAGTCACACATGCTATGAAAATGAAATACAAAAAATAAAGACGAATGTGCGAGAGAAGAAACAAGAAGCTTCCAGAAATATAAAAAATAAAGACGAATGTGCGTGAGAAGAAACAAGGAGCGGAAACTCATTACGGAATTTTGTTATCCTTGTCGACGCAAGTAAATTACACGCACATCCTTTCATACACACTTCCAATTGTGCTGGATGGACCGGAGATTTTTTTCTGAATTATTGAACACCAAAAAAATCAGAGTCGAAACAAAAAATAAGAAAAGAACACGGAAGCTCACCGACAGTCACACATAAACACAGAGATACTGAAACAGGAACTCCAACTACCAACCGTCCGATTTCTCCCTTTTTTTTTTTTTTTGTGGCATTTTGTTCACCCCCAATGGCTTTCTGCACTTCAACTCGCTCTTTCTTCAACCTCAAACTCTCCGGCGAAACTGCACCACCACTCCATCAGCCAAAGAAGAAACCAGTGACCCTTTTCCTCAATCCCCGTTTTGCCCCGCCCCTTCTCTCATCTTGTAACCAATGCTTCAGGGCCAATTCTGTCACTTTCTCAAACCCTTCTACCCCCAGGCATGGATTCAGTGTCAAGGCATACAAACTGAACAAACCCTTTTCAGATTTTTGCTTCTCTTTGCGTTTTTGAGTAGTGGAATTGATTTTAATTTTTTTATGCAATTTTTTGTTGGATTTTTTTGTTTGCAGGTTGGATCACAGCCAGATTATTCTTCAGGGGATGATGATGCTCAGTCGTTTATTCCTGAAGCAACCCAACAGGAGGAATTTTCTTGGACGTCTGTGATTCTTCCGTACGTCTCTCGATCAAATTTTCCATACCTCTGTGTGTTTTTCTTATGCTTTGAGTAATGTAAATGTGTAATCTTGTTTTAGCTTTCTTTGTTTTTCTGATGAAACGATATTGTAAACATTTCCAGTTACGGGTCGAACTTGGGTGCAAGGGGTTGAGTCCACTTGCCCTCGCCAACTGGCCTAACCCGCATATGCAATCTTTTTTTAGCTTTAATTCTTCATAGTTGATAATTATGTAATGGGGTTTGCATTTCGATTTTGTAAAGCCACATTGTATGGTAGAAGTTGGGTTTTTTTAGTACATGTTTGGAGGACCTGAATTGGGCTTTAGTCAAGCATATGAAAAGTTGAGTGCTTTTCAAAGTGTAGATCAAGCAATGAATAGTGGTTAAATTGCAAGTTTCGAAGTTTACTTTTGAAAATATCTCTTTTATTGGTATTTCTCTATTTTATTATTATTTTTTTTAATAACTAAGCTCTTGGAATTTTAGCTTTGTGTTTCCGGCTTTGGGAGGTTTGTTGTTCGGATACGACATTGGTGCTACTTCTGGTGCTACCCTCTCTTTACAGGTATACCTTCAGCTTTATGTTTTTCGTTTTTTGTTTTGATGATTAGTAATTTAATATGATCAACTTTTATGTTTTGATTTGTCACAGTCGCCTGAGCTTAGTGGCACAGCTTGGTTTAATTTTTCAGCCGTCCAGCTTGGTCTTGTGGTATGATTTATCGAATCTTAGTCAATTTGGTTTTGAGTCATTTCCAAACTTGTGATCTGTCTGCCAAAAATCACCAACAATACATCAACAATCCTAAATTGCATTGTTTCGATGCAGGTTAGCGGTTCCCTATATGGAGCTCTTTTTGGTTCCCTCCTTGTCTACCCAATTGCTGATTTCCTTGGTGTGTACTTGCTTTGCTTTTGCACTTCATCATGAGGTTTTGAGCTTGATCGTTATTTTTGTTAGTCTTAAATTTTAATTGGCTTATGAAGGGAGGAGGAGGGAACTTATCACAGCAGCTGTACTTTATCTCCTTGGGGCCCTGATCACTGCAACTGCTCCAGGCCTTAGTGTTCTATTAGTTGGGCGTGTTTTATATGGGCTTGGTATTGGATTGGTAAGGTTCTGTGAAGTTGCTCCAACCGAAAAAAAAAGAAGCTAGCTGCAAACCAAAGGAGAATCTTCCCAGCATTCGTTTTGGTCGAGCTAGATAATATCATGATTGAGTGATGATGCTCTAGTCACTTTTTAAAACATTTCTTTTGGCAGGCCATGCATGGGGCTCCTCTCTATATTGCTGAAACGTGTCCGTCTCAAATTCGTGGAACTCTAATATCTTTGAAGGAGCTCTTCATAGTTCTGGGGATTCTGGTATTGTTCAAATAACATCTTTATGTTAATCATTTTGTCATTCACTATCTCAGTGAAGTGAGATGTTCTGACATATGCACTCTTCTGCAGTTGGGTTATTTTGTGGGAAGCTTTGAGATTAATGCAGTTGGGGGTTGGCGTTACATGTATGGAATAAGTGCTTTCGTTGCTTTACTTATGGGAATAGGCATGTGGGTTCTCCCACCTTCTCCCCGCTGGTTGCTTCTCAGGGCGGCTCAAGGTAAAGGGGCTGTACAAGAATACAAAGAAAAAGCCATTGTTGCCTTGAGCAAGTTGAGAGGCCGGCCTCCTGGTGACAAAGTGTCTGAAAGGCAAATAGAAGAGACATATGTTTCTTTGAAGTCTTCCTATGCAGATCAGGAAGCCGAGGGGAGTTTGTTGGAGGTCTTTCAAGGCACGAGTTTGAAAGCCTTCATAATCGGTGGTGGTTTGGTCCTTTTTCAACAGGTGTTTTCCTCCTTGCTGCTATGAATTGAACCTGTCTTTTGTTTCTTTTGCTTTTATATTTTCAAAACATGTGCTTGAGAGAATACTAAGAATAAGTAAGCCAATTTACTACCTTACATTGCAGATAACCGGACAACCAAGTGTACTGTATTATGCTGGCCCAATTCTTCAGGTAATTGACAATCAACTTCTTTTTCTTTATTTCATTTTTCATGTTAATTTTCCCAATGACGTGACATTCTTTGTAACTTTGTTACTAAAGACTGCAGGATTCTCTGCTGCCTCTGATGCTACCAGAGTATCGGTTGTAATAGGATTGTTTAAGGTGCGTATGTTGCATGGTGTTTTTCATCTTTAATTTTGACTAGAGGTAATCCTCTTTCTGGTGTGACCGTCCTTTGCTTCTGAATGTTATTGCAGTTTCTGATGACGGGAGTAGCCGTCCTGAAAGTTGATGATCTCGGAAGAAGACCTTTGCTGATCGTAGGAGTCAGTGGACTTGTATGCGTCCTAACTATTCAAAAATTTACTCATTCAATTTCATTCGTATTTTGTACTTTGTGAAATGTTGGTTGATAAAGAAGAGGGTGGTTGGCTTTATCTTTCTTTCTTCGGTTTACCACAGGCTCTTTCCTTATTTCTCCTTTCTGCTTACTACAAATTTCTCGGAGGATTCCCACTTATTGCTGTAGCTTCTCTTCTTCTCTATGTCGGTTGCTACCAGGTAACAATATCTTTTTTGGGTTATTGGTATTCACTGCTCAATCTTCTTTTTCAAAATATAAATGAATCTCTCAAATAGCACAATAATGTTGTTTTCATCATACAGAAAATACAAGCTTTCAAATACGATCTGTGAACTTCACTTATAGAAACAGGACGGCATTTGCTATCCCTAATGACGTATTTTTCTTGTTTGACATGGAATATTGTGCTCAAATGTCATTTCAGATATCGTTTGGTCCTATAAGTTGGCTCATGGTGTCAGAAATCTTCCCGCTTCGCACAAGAGGAAAGGGGATTAGTCTAGCAGTTCTTACCAACTTTGCTTCAAATGCGATTGTGACATTTGCATTCTCACCGCTGAAGGTATACATATGCCGCCTCCCCACATTATTTCCTCATTATGATGCCAATCTATTTCTTTCATAGTTCAGGCAGGTTTTCTGATATCTCGCAAAGTCTTTAAACTGGGTGGTGTAGAAGTGGTTCGTTAACATTTGCTAATTCTGCAGGAGGCGCTAGGAGCAGAAAACCTTTTCATCCTCTTTGGTGCTATCGCCTTGTTGTCTCTTATCTTCGTCGTACTAATTGTCCCGGAAACCAAAGGCTTGAGTTTGGAAGAAATAGAATCCAAACTCTCGAAATAGATGCTCACCCGATGGCGAAAACTACCGTTGTAAGTTCCCAACTAAACATGTATTGGCGAGTCTGACCTCGGTTGTTAGCGTCGCCTGGATGTTCACAAAATCATGTAAATCTGGTCTAAAACCATGTACATTACTGCATGCTCCCATTTTGATGAAAGCATAAGGTGAGTTGCAACTATTTAGTGATAGCTCGCAAATGACATTTCATTTGAAGAGCAAGTGGCTTATGATATGGCTTGAAAACTTCCCGAGGGCTTTGCGGCGGAAGAGCCAATGCCTCGATGAAGGGCGGTTGCTACTTGGACTCGTTGGTCCAGAACGCCTGGAACTGGAATGTTGAGCATTCCAGTGTGTTATTAAGATGATTGAAGCTTGGACGCATGTTTTAAGCTTGATGCATTTGGTTAGATTCCAAATTTGACGTTCAAAACTCCAAATTCAAACTTCGTGTTTGAGTTTTAAGAATCAAGGGGCGTATTTTGAAGAACTAAGGAGTTTCTTTAGGAAAGCATTCCAACTGTTTTTCTAGAAAGTACTTGGATTTTTTATGATCCCGAATCAAAGTGTGAATGTCCCTTAGAAGTGTTGCATGCTCTTTCTGATCAGGAGCGGGGTGGACAACTTCAGTCGGTGCGTTGCCTGTATGTTGTGGATCTGCCACCTGCGGTAGCGCCTCGTTATCCACATTAAAAACGTAATGGATGAATTCAAGGAGATCCATTCTATCTTGTAATCATTCTAAAAAATATATCTGGCAAAAGAACCTATGGACATAAGTATTTCTTACAAAAGCAGTAAAAAATATGCGCTAAATCTGAACGTCGCAGATCTTAGAAATATAGTAAACTTTGTATGTGAAAGTCATTGAAATCTAAAGTTTCTGATTTTATGTATAATGGCCACTGGTGTCAACCTGCTTTCCTCCATAATCGGATGCACTCGATATGGAATCATTTGCTCTCTATTACTTTGCCTATGGATCCTGGAGTGGATGACCTTTTGGTTTGGAATGATGCTACTGATGGTCATGTAACACTTACTCGGGCTTATGATTTCAAAAGAAGTAAACAACCTCTGGTTACTTGGGGCAATTGGGTTTGGCGTTCTTGCTACAGTCCCCGTAAATCAATTATTTTATGGAAGTATATGCATGGTAAGCTTGTCATAGATAATCTTTTGCAAGATCGAGGATTTTCTTTGGCGTCTATATGCTAACTCTGTCGCTCGGCAATTGAAACACCTTCTCACCTCTTTTTCGGTTGTAATTATTCTCGACAAATTTGGTCTTCATGTTTGCGTTGGTTTCAGGTGGGCATAATTTTTTATGGCATTTTAAGTTTTTTTTTCCTATCCTTTTGACCATGGTTTTGGCTCTCAAGTTCAGTTTTGTGGAGGAGGATGATTGGCGTGGGTTGTTATTCTATTTGGGCAGCCCGCAATGCAATGCGTTTTGAGGAATTATCTCCATAGGTTTCCAATATTGTTCGTGATATTAAGTTGTAGCTGATTGAGATTGATTCTTTGAGCACTGGTACCATGTGAAACTCTGTGTCTGATCTTTGTATTCTTCGTGCCATTGGAGTTAAAGGTCGTCTAGCTAAAGCTCCTCGTATTCATGAGGTTATGGCTGCCACCTCCTATTTCTTGGATTAAAGTGAACACTGATGGTGCGGCTCGTGGTGCTCTTGGTTTAGTGGGTATTGGGGGTATTTTTCGAGATCATTTTGGCAGTTGTTTAGGCTGTTTTGCAACTTCGATTGGAATTGCTTATTCTTTAGAAGCAGAGTTGCATGCGATTATTCAGGCCGTGGATTTGGCTTGGGTTAACGGTTGGAATTATTTGTGGATCGAATGTGATTCTTCTTTAGTGGTTCTTTTTCTTTCTTCTACTTCTCACAAGATTCCTTGGCATCTACGTGTTTGTTGGATTAATTGCCTTGCTCTTTTTTCCCGTATGCATGTTCGTGTCACTCATATTTTTCGAGAGGGTAATGCAGTTGCCAATTGTTTGGCTAACTTCAATGTGGATCATTCTGGGAGCTTATATTGGGACTCTTGTCCTCCTTGTGCAACTTCTGCTTACATTCATAACCTTTATTCAAGACCTAATTTTAGGTTTTGCTAGTTTGGTCCTTGATGGTTATAGAAGTATTAACTTTCATTGAGGCGGTTCGTGTTGGATTTTGCGCCTGTCGCCATGCTTCCGCTGTTAGACGAAGTCAACCTCAGGATCCTTCCACCGTGCATTGAGAAGTCCAGCGTACTTCTAGAAGTTTGTTTCTGTTTTGAACTCCTCACTGATTAGGTTTCCTTGTTTCTAGGATGTATATCTGTAATCTTGTAATCCGTAGTCTTCTGTTTTGGATTCCTTGATGTTTTGAAACTCCTTGTAAATAGGGTTTTCAAACCCTCAGTTGTTATCTTGTTGAGATTATAAATACAGGCAACCCATAGTTGAATGGGTATGCAAACAAAGAAAAATACCTACGATCTTAAGTTTTATATGGTCTCTAGAGCTTTTTTTTGTCTAACGACAACGATCCTAATCCTGTCATCTTTCCCAACACCGCTTCCATGGCTGAAAACAATGTTCCAGTTGTTCCTGTCGTCCATCCCAACCCCCAAACCCCTACCTTCCAGCCATTCTCCACTGTCGTCAATATCAAATTAGATAGGACCAACTACCCACTGTGGTTGGCACAAATTCTCCCTATTCTGAAAAGTAGGGATCTGATGGGCTACGTTGACGGCACGGTGCTATGTCCTGCAAAACATGTTGATGGTTCAGCTACTGTCAATCCTGCGTACACAACTTGGGTGCAGCAGGATCAAATGATTCTTAGCTGGATTAATGGCTCTCTCACTGCTTCTATCTTGTCTGTGGTGGCAAGCAAACGCACGGCTCGAGCAACCTGGGAAGCTCTTGAGCAAAGGTATGCATCCACGTCTCAAAATCGAATTTTGTTTCTGAGAAATGCGTTGTTGCAGACCAAAAAAGGTGATCTCTCTGTGGCGGATTACCTGGATAAAATGAATGCTTTAGCTGACAACCTTGCCCTTGCTGGGCAACCTGTGAGTGACGACGAACTGGTTCAGATTGTGTTGAATAATCTTGGGCCAGCGTTCGAGATGACTGTGAGTGCTGCACAAGCTCGTGACACTCTTATCACTTATCCAACTCTTGAATCCTTGCTGCTCACTACGGAAAGGAGACTGGCCGAACACAACGTTCATTCGGTTGAAGGCCCTGCTGTCAATGCCTTTGTGACTTCACGTGGCCGTGGTGGTGGACGTTCTCGTGGTGGAGGACGTGGCAACTCCTCAAACCGTGGTGCAGCTCCGAGATGGAATAACCCTCGCAACACCAATGCTCCGCAGAACAACCAAGGTAATGGAGACAGGTTTGTTTCTTGTGGAGAAAGAATAGTTTGTCAAATCTGTGGTAAACCAGGACATCCTGCCCTTGACTGTTACCACCGCATGAACACTGCATTTGAAGGTCGCATTCCAGCCGCACGTCTTTCAGCATTGACGTCCTCACCTATCACCCTGAACAAACAACAGAATGGTTCTTGGCTCGTTGACACTGGTGCCAATGCACACATCACTCCTGATCTTCAGAACTTGATCAATCCCAAAGAATACAATGGTAATGAAGGCGTAGGAGGTGTAGGTAATAATGCAGGTATCTCGATTGCACACTATGGGTCAAATAAACTCGACACTAATACTTGCTCCTTTGTTCTACGTGATGTCCTTCACTGTCCTAATGCATCCACTAATATACTCTCTGCCCATAGGTTTACCCTAGATAATGACTGTTACCTAATCATTTTTCCCCATTTTTTTCTTGTTAAGGACCTAAAGACACGGAAGACGCTTTTCCGAGGGAGGTGTGAGAATGGGTTGTACCCATTTCCAGATGGCAGTGGACCTTTCAAGCATTCTGTATCTGCTTGTGTGGGCGTACGAGTTTTGGCACAACAGTGGCATGCTCGTCTTGGTCACCCTGCCAAACCAATAATTAAATTTTTAGTTTCAAATAAAATGGTACCTATTGATGGTGCCTGTGATGTAACCTTTTGTGAGTCATGCCCTCTAGGTAAAAGCACTAGGTTACCTTTCAATATTTCCGAGTCTGTGTCTGCATTTCCATTACAACTTTTACATTCTGATGTGTGGTGTTCTCCAATTATTTCTAATGAAGGTTTTCGTTATTATGTTTTGTTTGTTGATGATTTTTCGAGATATTCTTTCCGCCCCGTGCTCGTATTGTTTACTTTTCTTTATTTAATAAATTCGGAGATAGAGGACGGGGGGGGGGGTCGTTCTATTAACCCTTTCTTATCGCTTTGAGCGGGAAGAAAGTAGCCTACTTGTAATTGACGGTTAATCCTGGGGTTTGGTTCTTTCTTTCCGCATTGTGCGGGTTTAGAGAGTAAGGTTTCTACTATTGTAGTCCGACGACCAAACCTTATACGTAGCTCGACTTGCCTAATCCATTATCATCCTTATTTTAAAAAAATGACATAAATAAACAAAGATATAGGAGAAGAAAATGATTATCAGATAATCAATTCCCCTTTCTAAACTCTAAAACCTATCATTTTGTATGGTTGAACATCGCTGACATGAAGTTTGCTTAATTCTTCCAAGTGAGTACACCGTTAAGGTTTTAACTTTATAAAGTGCATTATTTTTCATGACCATGAATTTTGCTTAATTTTCCAAGACAAGGGTATCCTAAGTTCATAACCCAATCGATTTTAAGAGGTGAAGAAGCAAAAGCTTAAACCTGATCCTCTCAACTTTTGTGTATATTCTGCCATCTTTGAAAAGTAGGATGTGGACAAGTAGGATTATCCTCTATTGTCCACAGAGAGCCACCTGTCACTCAGCCAATCCCGATTGTGTGGCCTTCAGGATTTTCACAACCACACCACACGTTTTATTACACATTGCTCTCACATTTAATCTTCAATATCTTATATACACCAATCACTACAGTATCTGCTGCTTTATTGCATTCACTTGTAGTCGCAGCTCACTCTCAGGACACCACTTTGATCCATGACCGCCATGCACACAGTCTCGAGCGTCGGAACTGTTAACCGGACGCCGGTACGTTGTTATCCTACCAAGTTCTATTCTCATCTGTTTAAGTTTCTGTGTCACATTCTTTTTCATAAAAACAGTTTTTCGGGTAGCGATTTACACTCACAGTTTCTACTTTTGTACTTCCCCGCTTGTTTTTGTCTGTTGATTCTTCTTTAATTTATTCGCTCTGGCTAAAATCGAGGGATAACTATAAAAGGATTGTACAAAAGTCGCCATATCCATATTGTTTTTCTTTAACCTATTCCAGAAGGGCCAGAACTCCAAAATGGTTATTTTGTTTGTCCATGTGATGCCTAAAACTCAAGCATCCTTCATAGGAGGTGATTTTTGTGCAACTCTTTTCTTCTCGCACATCCATGTTTATTTTTAGTATGTTAACTCAAGAATAGAGAGACATAAATAAACTTAGGTGTACAGACAGAGAAAAGAAGTGAAAGAAATCATCTCTTTTTCACTAATTTTATATTTTTTTACACGGGTTTTGCTCGAAGGTTAATCTAAATGTAAAGCAGTGAAGTTTGTCATTCTATTTTGATGAACTTCCAAGTTTCTTGGTCCTAAAGTTATGTTATATTTGATCCAGGTGAGCTTGAATGGCTCTGGTTCCGGAAGCTCAGCCTTCTTGGGCACCACTTTGAAGAAAGTGACCTCAAGAGTCCCCTACCAGAAGATTGCATCTGCAGGCAAGTTAAAAATCAATGCGGAAATTGATGAGGATAAGCAAACCAACAAGGACAAATGGAAAGGCCTTGCCTACGATGTTTCCGATGACCAACAAGACATAACAAGAGGAAAGGGTTTGGTTGATTCTGTGTTCCAAGCTCCCCAGGGGACTGGAACTCACTATGCTGTCATGAGCTCATACGAATACATCAGTACCGGACTTCGAGAGTAAGCAAGAAAATGTTGAAACTAATTCCTATGCTTGGAGGTTGAATTTGTTTTGTAATAGAGTTTTGACTTGTGTTTCAGATACAATTTTGACAACAACATGGATGGGTTTTACATCGCTCCAGCTTTCATGGACAAGCTTGTGGTTCACATAACCAAAAACTTCATGAGCCTGCCTAACATTAAGGTACGTGTAGCGCTACAAACACGAAAAACAAATTTTGAAACTTCGGATTTTGATTGATATGACAGTGTCTTATTTGTTCGTATTTGAGACATTTTAAAGCTTATTTATTTTCTAATGAGTATGAAGTAAGATATTGTCATGTCATCTGCCATGCAATTCACAGGAGTGACTAAAATTTGATAAATTTTTTGTTGCTTCTAGTAGTATTATTATTAACTTAACTTTCTCATGTTTTCCTAACGAGTAAGAAATAAGATATTGTCATATGTCATCCACCATGCGGTGACAAAAATTAGAGAAATTTTTTGTTGATTTCTAGTAGTATAATTAGGTTAACTTTCGCAGTTAAACGTTATTCTTTGATTGTTGGTTTTGATAGCTCAGATGGTTTCATTTGAATTTGTATCAGATTCCTCTCATTCTTGGTATATGGGGAGGAAAAGGTCAGGGAAAATCCTTCCAGTGTGAGCTTGTGTTTGCCAAGATGGGAATTACGTGAGTTCGTGTACTTTACGAAAGTTTTCTTTTTTTAATGAAGAATCACATAGAAATAAAGAAATATTTGCATCCATATTGCTTCCATCATTTTATTTTAGCTACCCTTGTGATTAAATTTCAGCCCCATCATGATGAGTGCTGGAGAATTAGAAAGCGGGAATGCAGGAGAGCCCGCGAAACTGATCAGGCAAAGGTACCGTGAGGCTGCAGATATCATCAGGAAAGGAAAAATGTGTGCCCTCTTCATCAATGATCTCGATGCAGGTGCCGGTAGGATGGGTGGAACCACACAGTACACTGTGAACAACCAGATGGTGAATGCTACCCTTATGAACATTGCTGATAACCCGACAAACGTGCAACTTCCCGGTATGTACAACAAAGAGGAGAATCCTAGAGTCCCCATCATTGTCACTGGTAACGATTTCTCCACATTGTATGCCCCTCTCATTCGTGACGGTCGTATGGAGAAGTTCTACTGGGCTCCCACTAGGGAAGACCGGATCGGTGTTTGCACCGGAATTTTCAAGCCTGACAATGTGTCCCAGGAAGATGTTGTCAAGATTGTTGACACATTCCCCGGTCAATCCATTGGTAAGTATACTTTTGTTGTAGTAATTTGGCATATAATTTGCCATGTAATTTACATTTCTTGAATAGTGTGATGTGATCAGCAAATGGGATACATATAACGTTACTCCGTTAAAGACTAGTCAAAAATAGGATCATGCTAACTTGTTATATTGCACACTGCAGATTTCTTTGGTGCCCTAAGGGCTCGAGTTTATGACGATGAAGTGAGGAATTGGATTTCCGGTGTTGGAATTGACGGCATTGGGAAGAAGCTTGTGAACTCAAAAGAAGGTCCCCCGACCTTCGATCAACCTAAGATGACTCTGGAGAAGCTCCTTCACTACGGACAAATGCTTGTCCAGGAGCAGGACAATGTGAAGAGAGTCCAACTGGCTGACAAGTACCTGGCCGATGCAGCCCTTGGAGATGCAAACCAGGACTCTATTAACCGAGGAGAATTCTATGGTAAGCACTCCTTGTCTTGATAAGAAAATAACCCTAGAAGCACCAACTCATATCCGAACTTTTGTAAAATCTCAACTGATGTGGCAACATTTTGTTCGTTAATATTTGGAGTCACTTTGAACCCCATTTATTCACAACCAGAAAGTAACTACCGTTTTGTGCCACATCAGTTGGGATAATAGTTGGTACTCGCAGTTAGAACTACTCGTCTTAAGCTATCTCGATTGGATTAGTTTTGTTGAAGTGTTGCTTAACCACTGCATGCAGGAAAGGCAGCCCAACAAGTTAACGTACCAGTCCCAGAAGGCTGCACTGATCGAACAGCTGCAAACTTTAACCCAGCAGCAAGGAGTGACGATGGTAGCTGTCAGTACGAGTAATTGGAGCTGAAGAAAATAAATATTCTGTTTGCTGGGTTATTGATGTTTTCTTTGTAATTCATGCTTGTATTTCTATGGAGATTCTTGCAATTATTTCGTTTTAATTATTAAACTAGCTATTGATACTCCGGCTATTGAAAAGTCAACAAGAACTGAATGTTATGTTGTTGATAATATGTCGTCATTGTCGCAAACAAAACTTCACAACATGTTATCATTACATTCGCGACAGGATTGAGACAATATTGATAGACGTTTATTCCTGCAAAGAGTACTTAAGAACTCATTTGGTTGGCCTCACTGAACTTAGGAACTTGTAACCTATGTTTAGTAAAGGCGCCCTAATTTTTATGCCCCCTCCGTTGATCTAGCACCAAATACACATCATCACTATTTTTACAGTCCCAACTTTTTCGTTCGATAGAGTAACAAATGAAGGGCAGTACTTAATCCAACTTAGGCCAATCCGATGGAATCCAGGGCAGTCCTAGGGAAATGTTTTCTGCAACCAACAGTTCATCAATGTACAAAAATCAAATAGAAGAGTGCGCGAGGAGAAAAAAAAAAGTGCGGAATTCAATTCCCTTGTTTATACTTCACTTTGCTCTTTTGTGAGAATATTTTGACGAGATTATTGGGGGAATTTGTGAATACATATTACTATTTAAGATTGTTCACAGGTATTCTGTGCAATTATTTCATGAAAAAAACTTCAATTTCTGGAGCTGCAAAATTGGTTTTATTGGCAAAAAAATACAAGGCTTACATGAACATTGTAAAATGAATTTTGGGAAACACTTATTGATGCATAGAAACTTGTACAAAAATATTTAGAGGATTATTTTTTTATATCAACAGTTGAACTCCGCTTTTCAATTAGTCTGCAGTATTCTTCCCTTCTTTTCTTCCTCAATAGCTGCAATACATAAAAGATCTGCGTGAGGACGTATCATTTAACCGAAAACACAAGATGAAATATATACCCTTGTCACGTAAGAATTTGAACCGAATCACCGTTTATTCATCAATCTAATTGTTATAAGTTAGGGAAATGTTCTTACCAGATAGTGCAGTGTATTATGCAGCAGACTGTCAATTTGGACCATTGAACAAATCGATCGATTTTTATTTATTTTAATATGTGAAGCTAGAATAACAGTTTGATTCAACAACATATATAACATGTCAAAGAGAACATTAACATATAACTAATCTATAACTTAGCACTTTGTAGAGATAATAAAGAAGGAAGGGTCATGGAATGCACCTTCATGAGCATTTGTCGAGACTGGAATGCGCGGTGATGAAGTCATCATGGCTGACGAGTTTGGTGATGTGGCCATGGCTGATTGCGCGGTAGTGGTTTCGGATGGCTCCTCGTTCCAAAGCATGGAATTTATAGCCCCTTTCACCTTCCCCACCATGCCAACATCACCACCACCAGAAGCTTTCTTTGGACTCATTGCATCGGATATCACTTGCGAAAGTGCTCTTTCATCTTCCCCTGGCTCAAATTTTTGAATCAAATACTCCTTTACAGAAACACCCTTATCCCATATTTGATCACTGTGCTTACCGGATTGTGGAGCTGCAGGGGCTGACAAAGGTTGTGGACCCTCGGAGGCTGCCAAGATTTGTGGAGTTGCCCGGGATGAAGAGTTCTGCAGAGCTGATGATGCTGAAACAGTGTGTGGAGCTTCCGGGGATTTATCTGAAGGAGTTGGGGCTGCAACAGCGAGGCCTACCTTTGAGGCAATGGCATGGGTTGCATTGGATACAGCAGCAGGGGCTGAAACAGTGAGCCCTTCTATCTTTGAGGCAATTGCGTATGTTGTATCTGATACCGTGGCATAGGCCGGTCCCAACTTCTCAGTCACAGTTTCAGCTATTGTCTTGTTAGGACTTGAAGTCTTTGCAATTTCAGTTGACTTGCTAGGACTATCTGCAGGTTTCGCGGCCACAGTTCCAGTGACTGCCTCTTTAGGGCTACAAGGCTTCGTGGCTACAGTTCCCGTGATTACCTCTCTAGGACTAAGAGGCTTCGTACCTGCAGTTTTGGTCACTGTCTTGTTAGGACTAGGAGGCTTCTCCTTATCGTGTTCAAATCCCGGAGTGACACTACTTGGCAAAACATGCTTCTCAGAAATCACAGGAACTGCTCGGGGTTGCAGCTTTGCAGTTTCCTTGTATCCTTCAGGTGCCATCTCTGATTCGTACACTGCAAATAAAATGAAACTATTAAAGAAAACAAATTGAACATTTGGAAGGCACAAAGAGGTTTGCACTAACTCTTCAAAGGGAAAACAAGCATATAAATTTTTGGTACAAAGATGTTATACATAATGGAATCTTGAAGAAACTTATTATTACTTGGGGCTCCTAGATATTCAGCATCTTGCTCTTCATCTTCATGCTCGACTGGGCTTGCACCCCAAGTGGGGGTAGAGTTATCACCTTCACTGTGCTTTTTCTTGTTGCTGAGTGAGTGCTTCAGCTTCTTGGCCTTCTCTTTCACCTTGGTGAGAACAGATTTCTTGTGATGGTGTCCATGATCTTCTTCTCCATCATGGTGCCCGACCGGAGATGATGATGATGTTGACGAGGGTGAGGATGTCGACCTCAAAACTTCACCCCCTGGACATAAAAAAATAAAAAAATAAAAAATCAGTTAGAAGTAAATGTATAATCAAGGCATACAACTTCCATGACTTTGGGACTCTCTCTACCTAACTTCCCTCACCGGCCGAACAGTGTCTTGTCTCTCACATCACATGACTAGCCATGCAATGTGGAAGATAGAAATATGATTGTATACAACCGGTTATGAGGTTCACGGGTGGTGGCTGAAGTTAATAGTAAGATGGCATCAGATACCTCGAAGATATTGTTCCATAGTTGGGCTTTGAGTGGCCGTAAGTTTTCTCGGCTCGTGGATGATAGTAGATTCCGAGTCACCGTGTCGTTGGGGGCGTTCAAGTTGAGCCATTGCTGCTTTCCGATTCACAATTCAGGGTCCTTAGACTTACCTCCGTTGTTGAGAGAACTCGGATATTTGTATGGATTTATTGCATTTTCTTCCGGGGTTCTTGACTTCACAACGAACGCGATCCACAGGTCAATTTGGTTCATTTGTTTGTGGGCTCCGTTTCGACAAGTGGCATGAGAAGCTTCTAAGTTTAGCTTCCTACTTGCAGCTCAGGAATGGTTATTTCCTGAAATAGCAGTTGACTAGGCCACCAGCAGCAACCATCTTCCTCTTCCTCTGCCTTGTGTCTTGCGACAGTATTGGTCTTGGAAGACAAACCTGTAACTGCTTTCCACAATACATGGATTTTCTTCTTTTAGGATGTTTAAAAAATAAACAAAAAAAAAAATTAAAAATTTATCGGTCTCCTTTTGTCAAACTAAGTGTAATAATGGGGTCGGCTGTATGAGTCCTGGAATGCCATTACGATCGGTTTTGTGCCAAGTCTTCCGTTAGCTCAAAATACTCTGTATTTTCTAAAATTAAGGGGTTGAAAATGGCATGGGAGTTTGATGCCAGTGCATTGATGTGGATTGTGATTCCTTAGCACGCCGTGTTCACCAAAAAAAGAAAAAGAAAGACCTATCTTACTTTGTTGACTCAAATCCAACTGTAACCGGGAGTTTTTCTTACTCCTCTATCATACATGAGCTTCCTTACTCCTGCTGCATCATCCCAGTAGCCTCTCGTCAGCAACACATTCGACAGGAGTATGTAAGTTGCAGGATCATTTGGGGACAGTTCCTGAAGCTTGTGTGCAGAACGAAGAGCGATTTCCTTATTTCCATGAACTTGGCAAGCACTGAGCAGGGCTTTGTACACTGATGGTCCCGCCTTGATTGCCATATTATCAACAAAGGCTTGTGCTTCATGAAGATTTCCAGCTCGACCAAAAAGGTCAACAACTGTTGCATAATGCTCCATTTTCGGGGGTGCACAAAAATCATCATTTCTCATCAGATTGAAATACTCGAATCCTTTGTCCACTAAACCAACATGGCTACAAGCAGTTAGTACAATGAGGAAGGTGGTACTATCCGGTTTGACCTCTGTTCTTCTCATTTCCTCAAACAGTTCAACAGCCTCCAACCCAAACCCATGATGAGCATAACCTGATAATAATGAATTCCAGGATACGTCATCATGTTCTTTCATCAAATTAAACACTCGCTTTGAATCATGGATGGCACCGCATCTTGCATACATGGAAACAAGCCCATTCTGAACACATAAATTTGAAGCATGCCCACTCTTGAAAACGAGAGCATGGAATTTCCGTCCCTCTTCAAGGGCTGAAAGACTTCCTACCGCGCTTAAAATGCTTGCAAATGTGAAGAAGTTCATAGAAACTCCAGCCTGCCTCATTTCAGAGAAACACTGCAGAGCTTCCTCACTATTTCCAATATTAGAAAAACCAGCGATTACTGCATTCCATGAGATTTGATCCCATACCGCAATGCACGAGCAAAGCTTTTGAAAGTCTTCCAAGCTATTGCTACATTCTGAATATACCGTCATAAGTGTAACCACTATATATGCATTAAACTCAAAACCTTCTTTCATTATCCGGCAATGGATTTGCCTGCAATGATTCCAAAAGTCCGGGCTCGAAAATGAACTCAACAAGCTATTATAAGTTACACAATTTGGTTTGTGACCCAAACGCAACATTTCCCTCGCTAAAATCATCGCCTCGTTGGATTGTCCATTCTGCGCATAGCCAGTAACCATGGAAGTCCAAGTTATAACATTCTTATCTGGCATTTCATTAAACACACGCTTTGATTCGTTAACACTACAACACTTCGAATACATATCTATCAATCCAGTTCCCAAAACAACATTGCAGCAAATCCCCATTTTCATGCTCAAACCATGCACCTGAGCCCCAAGCTCTTCAGCTTCTAGCTGTGAGCAAGCCACCAAGACGCCCGAAAGACTGAACGGCGTTGGCAGTATCCCCACTTTCAACATCTCCAGAAACAACCCAACTGCCCTTTTTGGCAACTCAGCTTGCAAATAACCAGAAATCAGAGAATTCCAAGTCACAACATTTCTCTCGGGCATTTCATCAAACAGTATCTGAGCATTCCGCAACGAACCGCATTTGCCATACAAATCAACGAGAGCACTGGATATATAGACATTTGAGCAAAAACCCAACTTGATAGCAAATGCGTGAATCTTAATGCCCGAATCCAAAGAAGCCGACTTTGCGCAAGAAGATACGATTTTGTTGAGGGTTTGAGGGGAGAGTGAAGACCCACCCTGTTGCAACTGAGCCAGCAGCTCCAAACCAAATGGCTTTGCAAGCTTCTGGGTCACTGTCATGGCGGAGATGCTGGGTCGTCATACCCGCGGGAAACTACTCCAATGGCTGCGTTTGTTGCTCTCTTCGGGGTGAACCGCGGTAGGGGAAGTCGCCAATGGATTTTCCCATCGTTTTTTGTGTTTAGCCTTGAACCAGCTCCTGCAATTGTGTAATTTGAGAAGAAATTAATTATAATTAACTATACAAAAGTATCAATTTGGTAAATTCGCATATAATATACATATCTTACGCATATTTCTTATTAATAATATATTTCTAATTTTCATATATTTTAATATTTTGTTAAATTGCATGTTTTCTATAACTTCAAAATTCTCATGTACGTACTTTTTACGTTTAATAAACGTTATTTTGACATTTTTTTAATAAAATATTTAAAATTTACGTTTTTATATTTATTTTTCACATGATGCTGCATCAATAGTACGAATAGGGATTTTCCCTCTCAATATCACTCATGATTTTAGATCAAATTAAGAGGAAAATGTGGAAGAATAACATAGATAAACAAACAAGTAAAAACAAGCCAAACCAAGCATTGGAGATCTCGTCCCAACTTTAATTTGACCAAAAAGAAAAGAAAAAAAAACCAAACAAAACCAAAATTATTGAAAATTCTCTAGCACATGATTTTTCATAAGTGAATGGTTGAGATTTAACTAATTAAAATTTAGTTAAATCTTAACCGTTCACACATGAGAAAAAAAAAAGGTGCAAAGCTCCTAAATTTTTTTGCTTACTTTGAGCCGTTTGATAATTATTTTATTTTTTATTTTTATCAACCGATTCAGTCACTAACTCGGGAACTAGTGACTGAGTCAACTCGTCCCCCACCAGGCAGAAGTCCAAAAGTCCAAACCCAATAAACCCCTTTTTCCTTACGAGAGAGTGGCCTTATCTCTTCTCGTCTTTCTTCCGCTGCTGCATCCCACAACACAATGTTCGCAGCGGCGCCCTCCTCCTCCTACCTCAACCCCAAGCCCACCATCCTCCCCTCCTCCCCTCGCACGCTATCCCCGCCCCTCACAGCCGCCACTGCCTCTAACAGCCGCCGACCAGTCGTTAAATGCCACCTGTCTTCGAATTCCCCCTCTCCCCTTTCCCAAAACCCTAAACCCTCCTCCACTCCCCTCAAAACCCTCTCCAAAGCCCTCGCCGCCGGCTCCACCGTCACCCTCATCTTCAATTTGCGATCTTTTGCTGGGAATGGTAATTCCGGCGGTGGCGGAGGTGGGTTTGGTGGCCGAGGTGGAGGGGGAGATGGGTTCCGCGGCGGGGATGATGGGTTTGGTGGGTTTTTGAAGAGGCTGTTGTTTGGGTCGCAGACGGCCATGGCGGACGAGCCACAGTCTCAAGAGTGGGATTCGCATGGGTTACCGGCCAACATTGTTGTCCAGCTCAACAAGCTCAGTGGGTTCAAGAAATACAAGGTCTCCGAGATCTTGTTCTTCGATCGGCGGCGGTGGAGCACCGTCGGCACCGAAGACTCATTCTTCGAAATGGTATCCCTGAGACCCGGCGGCGTTTATACCAAAGCCCAGTTGCAGAAGGAGCTCGAGACCTTAGCCAATTGCGGGATGTTCGAGAAGGTCGATTTGGAAGGGAAGACGAACCCAGATGGGACTCTGGGAGTGACGATTTCGTTTACAGAGAGCACATGGCAGTCGGCCGACAAGTTCCGATGCATCAATGTGGGTCTGATGGCGCAGTCGAAGCCAATCGAAATGGACCCGGATATGACCGAGAAGGAAAAGCTCGAGTATTTTCGGAACCAGGAGAAGGATTACAAGAGAAGGATTGATAGGGCAAGGCCGTGTTTGTTGCCGGCGCCTGTGCAGAGGGAGGTATTGCTGATGTTGAGAGAACAAGGGAAGGTGAGCGCAAGGCTGTTGCAGAAGATTCGAGACCGGGTTCAGAAGTGGTACCAGGATGAAGGGTATGCTTGTGCACAGGTTGTGAATTTTGGGAATTTGAATACCAAGGAGGTGGTTTGTGAGGTTGTGGAAGGGGATATCACTCAGCTGCTTATTCAGTTCCAGGACAAGCTGGGGAATTTCGTCGAAGGGAACACACAGATCCCCGTGGTGAAGAGGGAATTGCCTAGACAGGTACTTATATCATCCGTTAAACGAAATGACTTGCTTATATCTTTAATGGGTTTTTGGTTGTTTGTTGAGTTGCATTTTGGGTTACATGATTTAGTTATTGGATTAGTGACTAAAGATATATATTGTTTGATTCTTAAGTTCTATGCATGTTTGCCAACTTGCAATGGCGTGATTTTATTGACTCGTTGAACTCCTTGGTGAATGTTAGCTTCGACCGGGTTATGTTTTCAACATAGAAGCAGGGAAACAAGCTCTGAGGAACATAAATTCCCTAGCTTTGTTTTCAAACATTGAAGTGAACCCACGGCCTGACGAGAAGAACGAAGGAGGTATAATTGTTGAAATAAAGCTTAAAGAACTAGAACAGAAGACAGCTGAACTTAACACGGAATGGAACATTGTTCCTGGACGTGGGGGTTATCCGACTCTTGTATGTGTAAAGTTATCTCTTTGCTCTGCTCATCTACCATGAAAATTTTGGAGGTTTGAATTATGTAATTCTGATTGTATGATATTGTATGTTGTGTGTATAGGCTTCACTAGAGCCTGGTGGCACTGTTACATTTGAACATCGGAATCTCGGTGGCCTGAATAGATCTATTCTCGGGTCAATAACCACCAGCAACTTCTTGAATCCTCAGGTAATCTTGCCTTGCCAAGAGTATACCCATCCCTGTATGTAAGTTAACTGATGGTTTTAATACCTTTGCATAAATTCTGGTACCATGTATTTTCTGTGGTTATATTTTCTCAGGATGATCTTGCTTTCAAGCTTGAGTATGTACATCCATATCTGGATGGTGTGTACAATCCCCGCAATCGTGCTCTCCGTGTAAGCTGCTTCAACAGCCGAAAACTAAGTCCAGTCTTTACTGGTGGGCCAGGGGCCGATGAAGTGCCACCTATTTGGGTTGATCGAGCTGGAGTTAAGGCTAATATAACAGAGGTGCTTCTTATCATTTTTCTTAATGTTTAATTCATGTAGTCCTTTATAATTTATTCAACAGAGGTACTTTTCGTCTTTACGTTTTCATTGCTTTACCTAACTTGATTGTCTGTGCCTACCAGAATTTCACCCGTCAGAGCAAATTCACCTATGGACTTGTGGTGGAAGAGATAACCACGCGTGATGAACGCAGTCATGTCTGTTCTAATGGTCAAAGAGTGTTGCCAAATGGAGGAGTAAGTGAAGATGGACCTCCAACAACTCTCAGTGGTACAGGCATTGACCGCGTGGCATTTTTACAATCAAATATCACTCGTGATAACACTAAATTTGTGAATGGAGCTATAGTTGGTCAGAGGAATGTTTTTCAGGTAACCTAATTTTCTTGTGCCATATACCTTGCATTATACACTTGCTTCTAACATCTGTATAGTTTTTAGAATAAGCGGGGATTAGAAAGAAAAATATTTGTAAGGGGAAGCCATCCTCATCAGCTTTATTAGATCTTTCTAGAATTATTAGTTTGAGGATCTTTTGGTCCTGGCCTGGATATAATTAGTGATAAATTTAAGAAAGCCACACTGAACCTGGGCAGGAGGGTTTTCATACGTGCATGGGGGTTGAATCATGTTTGTATATGTGGGTGCCTTGTATGTATTTTCACCTTGATGATATGTCGGATGACTGTTGCATTCAAAGTGAAGTTTATCATTTAATCATCCTTTTGAAACCACTATAGTACAAGGGTATGTGGATTTTGTTCAGTGTTTTGAAATATATGGGTGTTTTTCTTTTTACCTTTTAACGCAACATGTTTGAGAGACTTTGCTAACTTGGATACTCTTTGCATGAATTGCAGGTTGACCAAGGTGTTGGCGTGGGCAGCAACTTTCCATTCTTCAACCGTCACCAGCTAACATTAACCAGATTTTTCCAGCTGAAGGAAGTCGAGGAAGGTGCTGGTAAACCACCACCGCCTGTCCTTGTACTTCACGGACACTATGGTGGCTGTATAGGAGACCTTCCAAGTTATGATACATTTACCCTTGGCGGTCCATATTCTGTGAGGGGTTACAACATGGGCGAGATAGGCGCAGCTAGAAACATCCTTGAGGTAAGAACTACTTTTGAAACTTGTAACTCAGTCCTTGATATGATGTTGCTCCATATACACATAAGTTACGGTTTATGATTAGCTGATTTCTTTTCCCTTTATTATCTCCAGCTTGCTGCTGAGCTACGGATACCTGTGAAAGGTACACATGTATATGCATTTGCAGAACACGGAAATGACCTAGGAACTTCCAAGGAAGTCAAGGGTAACCCAACAGAGGTATACAGGCGATTGGGTCACGGGTCAGCTTATGGTGTTGGCGTAAAGTTAGGTTTAGTGAGAGCTGAGTATGCCGTCGACCATAACTCCGGCACAGGTGCATTATTCTTCCGTTTTGGCGAGAGGTTTTGAGATGCGACTAGTTTTTATCAGTTTTGTTGATTTGGCCTTTACTTTTTCGAAGCAACAATTTTATATTTATGTCGGGATTCATTTCGAATGGTTTGAGAAACGTAAATTCAAGTTGAGTGAGAATTGTTCTGTCGTTATGCTTGTATCTGACGCAGTTGGAACTAATAAGAGGCACTGGAGAGTCAAGATTACTATTTTCAGTAATCTAAATCTGATTGCTATACAACCACTTGATTTTCATTACTCTCTCTCTCTCTCTCTCTCTCTCCCCATTTTTTGCCTTTACGCTTCCGGTCTCCCTCTCCGGAACGATGCACTCCAATCTCTCCCTTTTACCTTCTCTGGATGCTTGATTTCCGCGGAAATATGAACAGCGCTTCATCTTTGATGCTTCCAACAATGCATTGAAGTGAAGTCGTGTTTCAATGCCGCCGCCCTTATCGTTTTTGTTTTCCCTACCAGTTCCCTATGCCGGCTCGCACGAACAGCTGCATTTAAGACATACGCGCCGAGTCTGCTTGTAGCACAAGAAACACTTATTGTTCAAATGGTGTTGCAAACGAAAAGTAGATTAAGGTTAGAAAGAAACACAAACATAATAATCTCAACTCCTCTTGATTCTCATCCAATTTTGTTGATTGTTTTACAAGATATAATCTCATCACAAGCTCCAAACACAAGCCCAAAAGTCTCTAAACACTAAAGACTCGAATCGTACTCTATATCAACTATACCTTTTGATTAAGCAACTTGACTTCAAAAAAGAAAAACGAAGTAATTTCCCAAAGTTTTAGTTGGGAATCACGATCCTTCATCGGTGTGGTTCAGCGTGCGCATCTTCAATTCCGCCTTTACACTTCCAGTCTCCCTCTACCATACAACAAACACCCCATCGATCGATCTCTCCTTTTACTTCTCTCAACTTTTGCTTTCTACTAAAGTGCAATAATATGAACAAGGCTTCACCTTCGATGCTTCCAACAAAGCATTGACGTGGTGAAGCCGTGTTTCTGTGCTACAATCCCAATTCCTTTTTTAACTGAGCAAGAGTAGCTTCTATCTCATCGATATTATCCTTGATGCTGCTCTCCTTAACAGCTTCGTCTTGACCAACATTTTCTGTTCTCTGTTTCCCGGAGCTTCTGAAAGGATTGCCTTCATCATTGTTATTTGCTCCATCTTCTGGATCCATTATGTTTAGTTCTTTCTCGAGAAATTCCACAAATTCTTCTCCAATCTCCTGCAAAGTGTAAATACAGATGATGAGTGAGGTTTCCTTGGTAAACATTCTCATTGAATTACTAGTATCTGTGAGCCATAATTCTAAATGGCGGTGAAGATGGTTTAACTGAATTGCATTTTCAGGCAGGTAGTGGGAACTTAAGGTAATCTCACCCCCAATTCCTCCCATAGACTCTTTGGCTTTCCCTGTGACGAAGCACTTGCTTCCCAGTTCTTGAATTCTTCTTGGATATCTTTAAAGAAGTCCTCTGCAATACCGAAAAAGACTTATGACACCGCTATAATAACAACTGCGATAAAACGGATACAAAAACGGATGCTTGCTGAGATTTGAGGACAATGCAACGCAAACATTATGGCCTGTATGATGTCTCACAGAGAGGACAAATCTACCTATTGTTATTTGAACATCCCTCAAAAAAAGACCTGCACAATGAAGGGCTTAAGAATAAGAACATGCTAAAATATACCTAAATATAGATTGGTCCAATCTTATCTTTTGGTCTATCTTAGACACACTACTCAGCAGTGTCCGAAGACAACAGTTATACGGATAATCAGTTGAAATTTGAACGGTGAACAGGACCAAAATATCCTTCGAGTGAAGGCCCGATTAACTGCATGTTGCATTCTTACTTGTCAAAAGAGTAAAACAAAATTTTGATGGCTGATACTGCCGTGTCACAGGCAGCATGACATCGTCCTATGGATTATCAGACATGCTTCGAGTAAAACATATTTAGCATTGGACTATATTGATTCATAGTGAAAGAAGTTCTGTAAAACGGTAGAGAGTCCATGTGCAAGTTTACTAGGTTCTTACCAAATCCGTAAAACTCTTCTTCATCTTGAGACTTCTTGCCCTGGTTTCTTTGAGAAGAGGAATAGGAATAGTCAGATCCGAAATTAGAGTCGTATTTTCCCCGAGATTTAGAACTCAGCAATGTATTGTAGGCATGCTTAATCCGCATAAATTTCTCCTGCGCATTTGCCTGTACAAACACAAAAGTTAGGACTAGTGAAACCATTGCTAAGCACTCTAGATAGAAGGGATGAGCTAAAAAACAGATTCAAAACATATCCACTACACCACCAGGCAATACAAACTACAAAAGCGGGCGATTGGAGATTTGGAAGAGCGTAAATCGCACTTCCCAGTTTAGCACACAACATAATGTGCCTACACAGTTGGCTTGGTGCCACAAATCACAAAATACGATTCGGGTAGCAGCATATCCTAGGATCATCTGTTTAAAGTTAGGTGGAATCATTTCGAGATTGTTGTCTACACAGTCTGTTAGAATAGAATCCTTAACTCCAGAATCTTCTCCCTAGTTATTGTTCATGGTATCAGCTAAAAATCGGTCCAAGGGTTCAAGGAGTCGTTCCTCTCACAATAAGCCTGCGGTTTTCGCCCCAACAAGGCAACAAGGGTGATACACACAGAATGTGTATTCTGCATAAATTTTCTCTAATCTAGAAACATCACAATACTCAGTTATGAAAGATCCTTAATTTCTCCAATTGGGTAACTAAAAAATAACGTACTTAACTGTTTTCTGCAATTGGGTAACTAAACAACAACATAGTTTATAACAAAACTCCAACAAAAATTGGAAATGAATCCTCCAATGAATTGGCATCCTTTAAACTTGGTAAGCAAAGATTTAAAGAACACAAAATCAAATTAAACACCAACAAATTATAATATCAGAAAAATAAATTAGGGAAAAAGAAAACTACCCGGAAATTGAAAACCTTTCATTTGCAGCTAAGGCAGTAGCAATTCCACAACTAGACAAAAAAGTACATTATGGGTTTGAATGCATAAGTTGTTAATTACCTCTTTATTAACATCGGGGTGATACTTAAGAGCAAGTTTCCGGTAAGCCCTTTTGATCTCGACATCCGTTGCGGAAGGAGACACGCCCAGAACCTGGTAAGGAGACTCACTGCGACTCGCTCTCAAGACGGTAACAAAACGCCCCCGTTTCGGTTTCAAATTCAAGAAACTGGTTACGGGTTTCGATGCGTGCCTGAAAATGGGTTTCGAAGATTCGGGTCGGGTTTGCAAGAAAAGCAGAGATCTTGAAGAAGAAGAAGCGGAAGAAGAAGAAGAAGCGGAAGGAGGAGAGAGGTTGAAGAAACAGAAGGTGTGTGGAGGAGTTAGAGACAAAAGAGCCAAACCATGCATTGTTCGTCGGGGATTAATTTGTGACAAATTTGGTAATCACCTTCATGTCCCTGAGAAGATTGCGGTTGAGAAAATGCGGAGCTCTGGAAGTTGGGTTGTGATTATTTTGGCTTAGTGTGTGCGCGTTGGTGGCTCTGTTTTGAGCAGCCAACGTTCTGGAGAGAAATGGATGGAAAGTAAATCGACGGCCAAGATTTTGGATCTTTTGTTTGGAAAGTTTGATTTCATGTGGGACCGACTCTTTCTATTTTGGGGATGGATTATCAATTTATTACAATCTAGATAAACGCGTTGCCCTCGAAAAAGTTGAAATGAGTAACATTTAGGATTTGGATTCTCTTCGGATCCCTTTCTTAGAATCTCAGGATCAATGCACGAAGATCATTTATCAAAAATCATGTAATCACAATTAAATACATTTTATATTTTTAAAAGTAAATAGATTCGTTTTACGTGAAAAGTATTTAATTGTGACCGTATGATTTTTTATGAACAGTCCTTGTGCATTGATCGTCGAGACCCCAAGAGGGGATCCAGAGAGGATCCAAATCCTAACGTTTGTAGTATTTTTCGGCTTTACTCAACGTAGGTTAGTACTTGTCTTTTTATCTTTTTGGGTGACAGTTAGTTCTTTTTTTTTTTTTTTTTTTTTTTTTGTCAAATAGAAACTTTCATTAATTTAAAAAAAGCTTACACGAAATATAAAGTTCAAGGGAATTCAAATACAAGCATAGTTTATAAGAAACTACAACAAAAAAGAAAATATACTTCTAGTTTTCAAAAAAAAAAGTATATATATATATATATATATATAACAGAAAAGCCTAAAAAGAGCAAGCCCACAGTAGCTATGCTATCATCGCCAATCCACCACTACCACCAAGAGGAAGAACCACAAACAAGCTAGATGAACAAAAAATGAGGGTGAGCAAGCCATCCGCGCAAAAAGCGCTCCCATAATCCTAACAACCTACCAAAAAGTGCAAAAAAACACTTCTAACAACCACCTAATACCAAAGTGCATTGCCAAGAAAAAACACGCAAGTGGCCGAGTGACAAAGGTCGACGGTGGAGGAATGACGGCAGGGAAAAGCAACGGAGGAAGAAAGGGGCATAAAAGTCTAGATTTGAGACGAGCTCAGAAAAACTAGAAATTAAGCTGATGTAGTGTTCACTTCAATCTTAAACTTCGGCCAAAAATTACTTAACATGTACATGTACGGATGTAGCGTTCACTTCAATCTTATGATATAACGGTGGTTGGGTTCTTTCCCTCGCTGAACAGTTGCTGCTCCAATGTTAATGCGCAGGTTCAAAGTCCAAGCACTCCCATCGGCTCAGCTGAGCAACCGCATCTTCCACCGTCCATTTCAATCCTCACCCGATTTCTACACAAATCTGTTCGAAATCTACGCTCGTGATCGACAGTTGCACTCTGCAAGAGCACTCCACGCCCATTTGATCACCAATGGGTTGGCCAGTTTGACCCGTTTTGCCTCCAAGCTCATAGCTTTGTATGTTTCTTGTGGCCAAATAGTCCATGCCCGCAAACTGTTCGACAAAATTCCCCAGACGAATATCCGCCGCTGGTTTGCTCTCATCGGGGCCTGTGCTCGTTGTGGGTTTTATCAGCAGGCAATGGGTGTGTTCTGTGAGATGCAGAGAGAGGGTTTAAGGCCGAACAAGATTGTTATTCCCAGTGTTTTGAAAGCCTGTGGGCACCTCTCGGATGTTAAAACCGGTGAGAAACTTCACGCTGTGGTCCTCCGGTTCTCGTTTGAATTTGATGTTTTCGTTAGTAGTGCTCTCGTTGTTATGTACGCAAAGAACGGGTGTGTAGAGAAGGCGCATTGGGTGTTTGATACGATGGTGGAGAAAGATTTGGTGGCTTTGAATGCTATGGTTTCGGGGTTTGCTCAACACGGGTTGGCTAGAGAAGCATTGTGTTTGGTGGAGAAAATGCAGCTGGAGGGGATAAAGCCTAATTTGATAACTTGGAACAGTTTGGTTGCTGGGTTTTCACAGAAGGGTGACGGAGCAATGGCGTCTAAGCTTTTTAAGATGATGCGCGATAATGGAATTGATCCTGATGTGGTATCTTGGACTTCAATTATATCCGGGTGTGTGCAGAATTTTCAGAACGATAAGGCTTTTCGAACATTTAAGCAAATGTTGGGTCATGGATTGTATCCAACTTCGAATACAATTAGTAGCCTCTTGCCTGCATGTGCGGGTGTGACAAATGTGAAGTCCGGAAAGGAGATTCATGCTTACGCTTTGGTGATAGGAGTCGAACAAGATGTGTATGTTCGGAGTGCTCTTGTTGACATGTATGCAAAATGCGGATTCATATTTGAAGCGAAGGCTTTGTTTCGTAAGATGTCTGAAAGGAACACAGTAACATGGAATTCGATGATTTTTGGATACGCGAATCATGGATATTGCAACGAAGCAATTGAGCTTTTCAACCAGATGAAGCTGGAAGACGATAAGAAACTCGATTACCTGACTTTCATAGCAGTTCTCACAGCTTGTTGTCATGCTGGAATGATTGAACTTGGAGAAAGCTTGTTCAATCTGATGCAGGAAGAGTATGGGATTGTGCCAAGACTAGTACATTATGCATGTATGGTTGATCTTCTAGGTCGAGCAGGGAAACTCACCGAGGCTTATGATATGATTAAGGCAATGCCGATGGAGCCAGATTTGTTCGTATGGGGAGCGTTATTAGGAGCATGTCGGAATCATGGGAATATAGATCTAGCTGAAGTAGCTGCAACGCATTTGTCAGAGGTAGAGCCGGAGAGTGCAGGAAACAGTCTGCTACTGTCAAGTCTATATGCTGGTTCTGGCAATTGGGCGAACGTTGCAAGGTTGAAGAAAATGATGAAAAGAAACAAGTTAGGGAAACTTCCGGGATGCAGTTGGATGGAAACTGCCTGATACATGAGGAGGCCTTTGAAGGAAGATTTTGACGAAATTCTAAGGCAAGTCATCGAAACTAATTCCGGAGTCCTTTCATCACACTTTCTTTGCCGGAGCTATGTTGAAATTTTCTGTTCCCGAGGAGGGAGGGAAGCCGGATAATAGTGAGAATGATAACTTCCTCCTTGTCGCTTTCTAAATCTAAGTGTAGATGGCTCTCGTCTAAGTATGTGGCCTCCATTTCCGCCAGAGGTCGTTTTTAAGGATTCTTCCGGGAATTGGATTGCAGGCTTCACTTCCAATCTTGGCAAAAGAAGTTATTGTTGCCGAGGCTATGAACTTGACAGAGACAAATCTTCCTTCGCTCTTCGTTCTCACTCAACGCCATTTTTCTTCAGTGAATCGAACTACGCTGGTGACTGTCTTCCTAGTTTACATCATGTTAGAGAGTTCAAATAAATACTATTGATCATCAAAACAAATACATGTTCTCACCCATGTTTGTTCACAGTATCAAATAGGTTTCAGCCTGACAGGATTTTAAGAACAAAGCCAGAATATATGAAGAAATACAAAAGATCTCAACTACAATATGTAGAGAGGTACAGTACCAATTATTTCAGTCGACAACATAACTTTAACAAGGAATAGTTATAATCGCTCTACGCCACCGTTGGTAGGTATCCGCTATTTAGCTGCCGGTGTAAAGGCCGCCCGCTTTATCTGGTGAAGTCTCTCTGTAGTTATCTTTGAACAATCTGCAAACGATGAGTATAATCGTACAATGACATCAATTTCAAGTCCAAGAAGAAAAAAGATCATAACCTACACGTACAATACAAAGAATCCATGTACCCCGAATGAACTAAGTACTGGTACACGATAGATACCCGAGCTTTAACTGAGAGAAACAAAAGGTATTACAAAACAAGAATTACGATACTACTATAGCAAAAGAGAGGAAGGTATAATGTATCTGATCCACTGAGGTAAAAGATATTTTCACCAACTGTTTGCCCATGTTCCTTAGATCATCTACATCCATCCCTGTTCACCCTCTAGCTACAAAAAATGGCAATCAATTTGCTCTAGCAATACTTAAGAACGCACAAATAGCTCTTGTTGATCAGAAACGAACCTTACAAAGGGGCTTGTTCCCACAACAATCTGTACAGGGAAATCGTAGTTATAAAATTTAACGTTATACCAAATGAAATTTGTAGTCACATAAGTCGTAAACACGAGGGTATATGCATACGTGACAAAGGAGGCGAAAGGGTGATAAAAGCATTCAACCCAGGATTGAAGGACAGGTAACAGATAATTGTTATATCTTTATTGACTTCTTTCCATTGAATCTGGAAAGAAAAGGCTTAACACCTTATTGATACAAAAAGAATATATAAAGTAAGAACAGGTCAGGCATGTACTCAATGCCTCGGTGTCAACAATGTAGACTAGGAACGGAGTATACATGTAATGAGGGAAGTTTTGCTACATTGGCTATTGATTCAAAACCCATATGCCTCTAAAATGTCTCCACATTATTCCTAAGAACCCTTCCCGTGCCTGTCAGGTTCGGGATTACCAATCAAGCAAGCTTACAGGTTGAGTTCGAAGAGTAACCAACTTGCTGAAACTTCTGAATCTACACAAAAACATACATTAAATAATTGGAAATTCCGCAGCAGTTATCAATAGTAAACTGCATCATATATATGCAAAGTAATGGTATTGACAACAAACCCCAAAGCTGCTATATTGCGTCGCTAAAGATATACAAGCTTTGAAGCTGTAACTCCATTACTTATACAATCATAATACGTATGGGATAGACGCTTGTTTCTCAAACAAGTGAAATGAAATGGATGAGACCAAAGCACGCCAAATGATATTTCAAATGAAAACCACAATTTCAAGCACAAGGAAGTGCAAGGTATTACTTCAATCCTCCTCTTCTGAGAGGCATAAACTTAATTGCCATGAGACGAATGGATTTAGAGCTTCATTAAGGAAACTCTATCGCCATTCAAAACTTCTGATGACAAACAAAAAAAGGTACTGTCTCCATTCTGCACCTGAAGACTGTAACTTCGGGGGCAAAAACTAGTTCGGAAGCGCCTAGTTCCAAATATGACCAGCAATTTTGGGTTTATAGCAGCAAATTCACGATGCATTTTTAAGAAGGGAAATGATTTCCGCACTACCGTTTCTACTTTTACATTCCTCCTTATGTTTTTGTCCCCTGATTCCCTTTGATTTATTCAATCGACCTAGGAGGGAGAAAAGGGGAGTGCGAAAATCATTTTTCTTTTAATCAAAACCCGTAGGTTTCAATTAATGAGGCCTAATATAATAAGGCAAACAACAACCAGCCAAATAAGATAAGCAAATGATACAATCAAATCCGCAAAGTGAACAAAATTCAGTGCATAAGCTCAAGAGAGTCACTCACCTCAACTTTAATGTGTAAAGATTTCTCATTTGTCATTCGAAGCAGCATGTTGGTACGAAACCATCGAACCCATGTTGTAATGGTGCGACTCGAACCCATGGTACCCACCGCCGTGACCCCCCGCACCGCCGGGCATGCCCATGTGCCCGTGCCCGTGGCTCAACCCAAGAACCGGCATCTGCATCATCCCGGGAGGCGGGTACGGCATCGGAAACGAAAACTGCCCATTTCCGTGCCCGTGGCTCTGCCCCGAACCCGCCGGACCTGACCCCCCGCCGCCGCCAGACTCGTGGTGCAAGCTCTGCGGGACAGGCGCGGTGGCGAAAAGCTGGTCCGACGAGGAGGGCCCCACGTCGCCGGATAATCCTTGCATCCTCTTCAAGTAGAGGCGGTACTTCTGCAAGTGGCTGGCGACATTTTCGCGGGTCAATCCCTCGACGTTCATCAGCTGCATAATCGTCTTGGGCACGGCGTTCTTGATCCCCAGGTGGGCCACCACGTCCACGAACCGCTTGTGCAGCTGCGGGGTCCACACCAGCCGCGGCCGCTTCAGCGTCCGCGCTGACGTGTCATCCGGCGATAAATTATCGGTCCTCAGAGTCGAATCCGCCTCCTCCGTACTACAATCGACCTTCCGCGACTTTCTCGAATCGGATCCGTACCGCTCGCCGCTCTCGTCCACCTCCACGATCATCGGCTCCACTTCGTCGCTGCGGTTCTCGTCGAACGACTTGTAGTTCGACGAGAAGCCCTGGGAGAGGGCGCCGCCGCGGAGCGTCGAGACCGTCTTCTGCGACGCGCGGTTGACGTCGACCGCCGTACGGGAGGGCTCCGGCGAGATGCTGAAGGCCGAGGCTAATTCGATCGGAATCAACGGCTGAGATAAGGGAGTCAGGTCGTCGGCGCTCGGCAGCCCCGCCTCCCACTCCGAAACTCGTGCCTCGTCGTCTCCGTCGTCGCCACCGCTGCCACCGCCTTCGTACTCACTCATCCTCACCTCCTCACCCATTGCAAACAGCTCAAACTCTCTCTCTTTCTCTTTTTTTTAATTTTTCATTTTTTTTGATTCCTTTTTTTGGATTTTTGTCATCGAATTGTTCGTGTCGGGATCGGATCGGATTGGGAGAAAAATCAGGAGAAAAACGAAGACCAATTGAGAAGAAGAAGAAGTAGATTGGAGAATTCGGGAGATTCGGAGGACTGTTTGGCAAGTCAGAAAACGGGGGAAAATTATAGAAAGTTTTCTTCTCCTTTTTCCTATCCTTTTCTTTTTCTTTTTATTTTTTTCTGCGCTTTGTGGTAGAAAAAGTGCAATATCTGATTCCATCTCACGCCGACGTGGACGACTTAGCCAGATATTTTAGATCTTCTAAATATCTCTTCCTTTTCTTTTACTTCTTTTACTTATTGATAACTTTATAAATTCAGCATGATCTACCGCCAACATCATAAATATATTTTCAATTTAATCAATTACTATTATATATTGTGTTTTATCACAAAGAAACTCAATAATATTAAGGTTAGAATATCTTTTACATGAGTTATATTATATTTTTGTCATATGTTCAGTGTGAAATCTATACTCCAACACATCTCTAACAAATGACCCTACACAAGGGTTGCAAAGGGAAAACATTTCTCACTTTTGAAACTGATCAAGTTATTATATCAGAGCTAACGCCAATTTTTTCGAGAGCCTGGTCGTCGGTTAGCATTTAATATCTAGAGCAACACCAATCTTTTCGAAGCCCCTAGTCATTCAATAGCTTTAAGTTGGAGCTAACGCATATTTTCAAAAGTCCAACTTTTAGAAGTATAACCCAACGTAGTTCACCAACATTATTGGTATTATCCTAACATATCAACCTTTTGCTAGGTGGAATAACTTTATTGATATTTTCTATTTCTTTAGATATTTTATCACAAAATACCTTGATGATACTGTAAAAACACATATTCATCAATCCCCGCTCGCGTGATCTCTTGACACGTGTCATGATTGGCAATCGAACGGTGTGGTTTATCCGAAACTGAAATGACTGGAATGGCCTTGGCGTTGAGGAAATGAGAGCTGTGACGTGTGATAAGGCCAAGCAAGCAATGTTTTTATCGGGGCATTTTGGTAATTGAGTATGAACAATTTGAAAAGAACCACCTTTGCAATTGGGTCCATTTTGTATCCTTATAAAATCCGGTGGACCACTGGGAAACGAGAGATATTGGTGAACAGCTGTACCTTTCGGTAAGCGTGGAGGTTGATGGTGATGACGGCATAACTTTACAAGCACACGATTTCAATGCTTAATCGTATGGCCGGAATAAAACTCATAATAAGTACGGATGGGCTTTTGGAATCAAAAATTAAAATCGAAACATGAATCAAAATAGATCGCATCAAACAGTTTGATTTTGCAGTTTTGAAACCGAACCGTATTATAGAAAACGGTTTGATTTCGGTTTTGGTTTTGAAAACCGCACCAAAACCGAATCGCACCGCAAATACTAATAAACATTTAATTAGATGTCCATATGAGATGTCATGTTTTAATTGCTTGTTTGTTAGAGTTCCATACATTTAGTATCTGCTCAACCACACTAGAATATCATCATGCATCATTTGCTGCATGTTTGCTTGCTGCATATATAGTTGCTCAAGTTTGTTTGTGCATGTATTGTCCTAATTTTAGACGGAAATAGATAATCAAAACAACATGACTCAATGTACTCATAGTTAATATGTGTTCATTAATTAATGTAATGTGTAGAAAATGAAACCGACTTATGCGCAAATAGGTGTATATTTTAAAATGTACATTTCTTTCTTAAAAACCAAACCAAAATTGTTTGAAACCGCACCAAACTGAACCAAACGGTTTCTTCAAAACCACACCGAACCAAACCACAAAAAATTTCGATTTCAGTTTTGATTTCACTCAAAACCATACCAAACCAAACTATGCCCACCCCTACTAATAAGGAAACTAATCCCAAAATATGATTAAGACCTTTTACTCATGCATCCGAGGTTTTGAATAAATTTAAGTCGGAGATACAAGTTTTAGTTCTAACTTGACAACTAGAGTGGATTCGAGCAAAATTTGATTGGTTGAACCCCTGAATTTGGTTATATTGATAATTTGTCAACTTAAACAAAACTCGTTCATTTGTAATCCAAGTTTGGGTTGAATTTTGGCAAAGTTAAGACTAATCCTTGTTCAGAATATGTTAAGTTGCTCTTGAGTGTAGATGATTGTGAGTTGTTTATGCATATCAACTCGTATACATCACAGTTCAGAGTCATTTATGACCGCGTGATTAAGCACTTGAACACTTATATTACACTCCTAAGAGAATCTCCGAAAGCCCCTTAAATTTTTATTGATTTGAATTAGCTAGTTAACGGTATAAAACAACTATTTCAGTAAGCGAGTTATGTAAAGCTCAAATTTTTATTTGATAACATTGTGCTGGTCCATTGTCTTGGGATAGAAAGATTTTTCAATGTGCTAAGAACATGATCCGGTACACTAAATTATAATACAAGTAATCGAATATTTTAAAAAAAAAATCAATCACTTGAATTATGATACTAGGAATACCCAACCATATTTTCAACGTATTGAAAAATTTAGAGTTTTAAGCTATGCCCAATTTCCAATAGAAATTTTTCAGCAGCACATTTACAATTATGCCCCTCTCCCACATTTGATGAGAGGGCTGTTTGTGCCCCTGAAACAGCGAGAGAGGTGGTAGCAAATATCCATGGCTACCACATCCATAACTCTATCCCGACCACCATCAACTTTCTTCCATTTTCCCAGGCCAAACCATTCCCAATTCCTCAGAACAACCCAGAAACCATCCTTCCCTTTATCCTCCCCAACCACCACAACCAAACGGACCTTAATTTTCAACACCCCAGATGATAATCTCACCCAAAGAAGCACCCCAACTTGGCAAATCAGTGCCACCTCTGCTGAATCTGTGCCTGCAGAAGCCGCCACCGTCCCACTCGAGACTGCCCAGGAGATAGTGGCCTCTAGTGATGAAGGAGTGTCTGTCGCCATTTCTGCCCTTCTCTTCGTTGCCTTTGTTGGCCTGTCCATTCTCACCATTGGGGTAATATATAAACTCAAGAAACCAAGGTTTTTTTTATTCTTTTTTTTCAATTCAAATTTGTTGAAGTGACTAAATTTATAGTTTTGGCAACTGGGACGTCCTCAGTTTTGATTGTTTTGGATCACAATTGGGATAAGCTCAAGATACAATGTTTTCTTTTTCAATACCTATTTGTTTAGAGATAATTATATCAATCGTCCCTCAATTTTAGCTCATACCTCAACCTTACCTCAATTGGAGCTGTTATCCTTAAACTAAAAATTCGTAAGTATTGGTCCTTTTAACTAAGTCTGTTTGAACTTTCATCTAGTTTTTCTTCTTCAAAAATAATCATCACTCCACATTATAACAAGTTCAGAGACTAATACTCACGAATTTTTAGTTCAAGACCAAAACTCGAATCGGACAAAAGTTAGGAAGATTGCTCCAATTTTCCCATTTGTTTAAGCTACTAAATTTATGGTTTTGGTGGATCACCATTGGGATTTGGGGTAATTTCAAAAAAACCATGTTCATTTTGTGATTCCAATTTGCTTAAGTGACTAAATGTATAGTTTTGGAAACAGGGTTTTACTAAATTTGAATTGTTTAATGGTCACCGTTGTGGTAAATTCAAGAAACCATGTCCATTTTGTTAGTTCCAATTTGTTTTAAGTAACTAAATTTATGGTTTTGGCATTCCTGGGCTTGGCCAGGTTGACTAGAGAAGTCTGCTCCCTGCTCTGCACCCGAGTTAGAATCATTGTCCAATTAATTTAGATGAATTTAGCTTAAATTATCTATCGTTTGTCAAAGAAATAAAACTAAATCATTGGTTTTGAAACTTGGTTTTTTTAAATTTGGGTGGGTTTTGAATGCAGGTGATCTACCTAGGTGTGACAGATTATCTGCAGAAGAGGGAGAGAGAGAAGCTGGAGAAGGATGAGGCAGATAACAAGAAGAAGGGTGGGAAGAAGAAGAGGGTGAGAGCAAGAGCTGGGCCTAAAGGATTTGGCCAAAAGATTACTATTGATGAAGAAGATGATGACTGAACTTCAGTCTCTCTGATTTGAAAGATTTTCATTTTCTTTTCTTTAGTTAGTCTCAAATTTGTAATGGCGACCTTAAGCCAATAGGGCTTCCCACTTTGCTAGGGTTGGGAGAGGGAGAGAGAGGGGTGGGGGGGAACGTCTCTCATATGCAGCCTTATCCTTGTTTTGTAAAGAGGTGGTTTCAACGTCAGTCACAAAGGAGCAACCTTTGGTTGTGTTAAGGCTCGCCCTCCAAATTTGTAAGTTTATGAAATTTTGAGTTGTTTTGTTGCCGACTTTCTTGCACTTAGAAATAGTTTGAGTAATGAGAAAAGAGGCATTTTTATCCCCATGAATGTAGGTTTCACATTTGTTGGCACAGCCTTAGTTGTGGTACAAATTTGTCAAACTGCTTGGTGTGGATTTAAGTCATTTTTCGAGTAATTTGAAATATCACCAAAGTGGCATCTTTAGTGCAAGCGTCTTCTCCCTAAACTGACACATCCGTAATACTAAAGACAAATGCATGCAAGTCTGTAACGTGAGTGACTACCAACCGCAAAAGCGCATGAATCCTTTAGTGGAGTCTGTATGCATTTACGACTCACGATCATCCACATTCTTAGCATTTATATGCATTATACCAAGGGTTTTCGTTTGATTGCTCATCATAGCAATGACCTGAAATATACCTTCCATACATTGCACAAGACAGCAGATATGTTACCAAATTGTATCAACTTGTAAGATTCCACTTTGTAATTTACGGTGCATGACTTTTTTAGAGTGATAATAACAGCTCCGTACCAAAATCGCAACTAAATTTTTCCGCAACATCTCGGTTTCAATTTTTCAACATTTCGAGTAAGACAAATGAACGTTGCGAGAACAAAGTCAAAAGAGAATCCCTACATATGGAGGGTTGACTTGCTTATTCATTGATGTTGTTCTAATTTATTGACACGGGAAACACGAAAATCATAGTTTAAGTGAGCCTTCGAGTGCGTGCATAGAAAAGTGAGAACATAGTTTTGGATATGCCCAACAAAAATATAGAAAACAAAAAACCGAATAAACGCATCAATTTTATAATAAAACGTTGCTATTAGCGCTCTAAAATAATCATCCACCACGTCTTTATTTTTTATTTTTAATTAAAGACGACAATT